AACCTTTTTTCATCCTTTGATCCGTTTCCTTTTACACAGACCAGACCTCTCCAGCTCATACTTCGGTCTCATTAGACTCTATGATTTTACCCCGCCTCACGTATAGTCCGCCCCAAAAAAGGCCAATAAAAACTAAAAAAGCTGCGCTTTATTCCATCATTTGAAAAGATGAGATGCTTTTCTTGAGGAATCTAATCTGAGGCGCTGATTCTTCCTCTTCAGTTTAATTTTGGTTTCAATTCAGAGCACATAAACAAATTGAGAGGATAAATGAAAGCAGTAGGTGGCTTTCAGAAGCACTCTCTGTGTGATTGCTAAAGAGTGGATGAGGATGGAGCCAAGCGGACCACTCCAGATGGCGTTTGGTCGAACGACAAAGGGCCTCTTGAGAGGGGAAGGTTAACATGTGTAAACACAAGAGAAGCTGATGACTTCTGACCTTCACCTCTGCAGGATCTGACGATCTACACTCAAAAAAACAACTGGTTGAATTAGAAAGGGCAGCTTTAACCCTCTGGAGGCAGGCGTTGCAGGTTAAAACCTACCTACCTGGTTACTCCACCTACGTATTTCATGAGCATCTTTTAACTCAAAAGTACCCCTGAAGGACTTAGTCGTTCGTCCTTTTATCGAAACTTATTTTGAGCTTGAGAGGGTTAACCCTTTAAGCGCCAAAGTCACAGAATTGCGACGAGCAGTAATGTTGGATTTAATAAGCCACAGCAGCAGAAATGAGCCCTCATGCAGTTAATACGTTACACTGCGGGGTGTCAGATACCTGTAACTTCAATCCAAGCAGCATTTGTGGGTGTGTTACTATTCAAACTTTTCGAGTATTTAGAACTTGAACCCCGCCCACCAGTCGCAGAGTCGCGGAGGTTGTCAGAGCAGTCAGATGAGTGAGAGCGAGCGAGTGGTAAAGGAAAAAAATCACAATGCAGAGAGGAATGTTCAGTGCTGACGAAGCTCTTCATCTAGTACTGGCAGTTTCAGAGGAATTCTAGCGAGACGGAAAGCGTGGCTTCAGCACGCAGCAACAGAGAGTCCGTCAGCAACGACACGGTTACACAAGCAGCCCATCCAGCCCTTATCTTGTCCGATGTTCCGCATCGGGCAAAGAGACGTGGCGGGGGGGGGGGCTCATTACCGAGTCTGATCCTTTGATCCACTGTGCCAGGGGGGAGGGGGGATGTGGTGGCGGTGATCGGGCCGGTGGAAACTTCGCTGGTGATCAATTCAGCCATCTATCTATCTATCTATCTATCTGTCTGTCTGTCTGTCTGTCTGTCTGTCTGTCTGTCTGTCTATGTATATATATATATATATATATATATATATATATATATATATAAAAGCTTGGCGCATTGTTTTATATATATTTACATATATAACAATTATAAACTAAATAAACCAAAGAAGTGATTAGTGAAATGTGTTCATGGCACTGAAGCACCAAAAACAGTGTTCTTGATTGATACGCAGTAAACATAAAATAATAAATATTATATATACATAGTTATATATGTCTACATAGGAGTATGTATCATAAACAATAACAACACTAAGAAAATAAGACAAAAACATAAAAAAACAACAAAATCTGCAAATGTGATGCAATCCAATATGGCTGCCACCTGATGACGTCACAATATGCAAATTATGTGAGTAAATTTGTTCCTATCAGAAAATTTGTCTCATAATGAAGATTTTTCTAATTTACAATATTCCTCTATCTCTAACCAGATTTAAGCTACAAGCTCTTTAAATAGTGATATAAAAAATTCATATTTTACTGAAAAAACTATGGCGCCTAAAGGGTTAATATATCTGAGCTGTATCGAAAAAAACAGTGAAGGCTTATTAGTGATTAGTTTTTCACAGCCTGGTTTATTTTAGTTAAGATGTTTGGTCCAATGTTTTTTAGTAAAAGTTTTATTTTTTCATGAAAATTAGTTTTTGTTTGTAAGAACATAAACGCCTCATAAACGCCTGCTTACTAGCCTAGGACGGCATCCTATACATGTGAATATGGCCTCGACCCATAGACAGAGCTTGGTCATTGGGGCGGGTCCTACGGTTGTCTCCGCGTGCTATTGGACAACAAACAATCTGATCTCAGTCAGCCATGCTCCATCAAAGAAAACGTAAAAGCGGCCTTTTTCACTCAAGTGCGTCCACAGTGGGACGTGAAGGTTTGGGCGGCTTTGTTAACCTTCATGATTTTCCTTTATGATCCTTCTAGTTTTTAACTGCCAGGGAATCAATCACCTTGTTGGGGTTGGATAATGGTTTTAAGGTGCCTAGTCATGTCGTCGTTGGTGTTTCTTACAGGATGAACAAAAAATGTAAGTAGTAAGTTAGTCAATTTTATTTCTATAGCACGTATCACAGACATAGAATCACAAAGTGCTTCACATGGATCAAAACAAAATAAAACAAAGTCACAAAATCATAAACAGATTAACATCATAACATCAAAATGTTCCCAAAACACAATCAGATTAACGTCAGAAAAAATAAAGTCAGAAAATTATAAATTTTCATAAACAGATGAAAGATTAAATTTTTGAGTTAAAAATAAGAAATAAAAGGTTTAGTTAAAAGCAGCTTTAAATAAAATGGTCTTTAGCTGTTTTTTAAAAGTGTCCAGACTGTCAGTGCTGTGTAAGGATAAAGGAAGATCATTCCAGAGTCGGGGTGCCACAGTCTGGAAGGAGCGATCACCTCGACTTTTATATCTGGTCTCTGGAACTTCTAGAAGGTTCTGGTGTGCGGACCTGAGGGCTCGGGTTGGAACATAAGGCTTTAACAGTTCAGTAACATAGGGAGGAGCTTGACCTTGTAGAGCATTGAAAGTTCTAGTCAGAACTCTAAAATGAACTCTAAAGTTAACGGGTAACCAGTGCAGAGACAACAGAATAGGAGTGATGTGAGCTCTTCTGTTTGCTCCAGTTAGGAGCCTCGCTGCAGAGTTCTGGACCAACTGAAGGCGGTCAAGGGCTTTTTTGTTAAAACATGTGAAGAGTGTCTTACAGTAATCTAGACGGGAGGAGATAAAGGCGTTGATGACCATTTAAAGTTCATGTTTTGACACCAACCTCCGCAGTTTGAAGATATTTCTTAAATGATAAAAACAGTTTCGGAACAAAGTTTTTGAGTGACCTTCAAGAGACACGGATTGGTCAAAAATAACACCCAAATTTCTTAAGTTTGTCTTGACAGCTGAGGATAAATGACCAAGTTTTAGACTAATCAGGGGAACCATGCACTCAGGGGCAACGATCAGACATTCAGTCTTTTCAGAGTTTAACTGAAGGAAGTTGTCTTCTAGCCAGCTGGTGATAGCTGATAGACACTGCAGTAACTCAGACAGTTTATAGATCTCAGAATCCTTAAAGGAGCAGTACAGCTGAATATCATCTGCATATAGGTGATAAGAGACAATGAAAAAATCAAGTATCTGTCCAAGAACAGATGAGAACATAATGCTTTAAACTAGGTTTTTATTCAGTCTTTTCTTAAAGTCATTCTAGAGTTTATAATGATATTCACCTTGTTTTTGTTGAATAAACCAAACTAAAACGTCTTTTCTGTCTCCGACCAGCTTGCCTTTGTAAATCAGTAACGCCACAGAGAAACAGTTCTGAGAGAAGCTGGTTAAACGCGTAAAAATCTAAACAAACATCCTTAAATTAGCATGTCCCAACCCACTCCAGCGTGTATAAACATTGGTGGTAGTTTACACTAACCGCAGGACAACGCTAGCCCGAGCAGGTCGTCCAGCACCCGGAGGGTCGATCCCAGCAGCACCTGTGCTCGGCAGCCTCGCCACTGTCGAAGTGTCCAAGGGCAGCTGTGGTTATCGTGTAGTTCATCATCATGTGAATGCGTGTGTCATTTATCATTACTAACGCTAGCCTCTATCATCTTTGTTGGGTGAGAGGAAAACAACAAATGTCAGACCCAAACAAACCCCAGATTGGGGTCCTTATCCTCTTCCTTGTTCAGCCTGTGGAAATGTCTCTGAACCATCGAATCACACAACAAAGAGAGAATGTCAATGTCGGTCTTTTTATATTATTTATTACCAAAGGCATATAGAGCATTTGGGTCCCACTTTATTAAGGTCACAGAATGAGTCAAGAACCAGGGATTACACACAGCTTTATAGCCCAACAGGACACAGACACATGTTAACAAAAGCAAAGTACAGAACCTCCCATAATCCCACCCGTCTCCTCTTGTCAGACACAACACACTGGCAGGATGCATGAAAACACCACTCTGTCTGCAGACGCACTAAGAACAGTAATAAGTCATGATATTAAAACTCTGAAGGACATTTCCATCTCAGGCCACAGACCCCGCGCTACAGGGCAGCAGTAGCTCAACAGGTTGAGCGGGTTGTCCAGTAATCGGAAGGTTGCAGGCCCGATCCCGGCTCTGGACAGAGAATTCTGCTGTTGTGTCCTTGGGCAAGACACCTAACCCAACTTGCCTGCTGGTGGTGGTCGGAGGGACCGGTGGCGCCTGTGCTCGGCAGCCTCACCTCTGTCAGTGCGCCCCAGGGAAGCTGTAGCTATGTGTGAATGTGTGTGTGAATGGGTGAATGATACACTGTAGTGAAAAGCGCTTTGGAGTCCTTACTCTGAGAGGCGCTATACAAGTGCCGGTCATTTATCATTTATCATTTACTACCCAACGGACACTTGCTTCGTCTTTCCATGGTGGTGAAGGGTTTTGTTATGGGGTTGTGTTTGGCCTTCCATCTGGGCTCTTTGGCCATTTTGATCCCCAAACAAGTTTAATTGACTTTATAGAGATTCAAAGAACCGTTTCCAGTGTGAAAAAGCTCTTTAAACCTTTTTCTGTTTTAGGAGGCACGAGCGAGAGTTTGTCTAACTACCGAAAAATGTTGCCAAACTGTCCTCCTCAATAGATGTTTGTGTGATCCTCTAATAAATGTCCTTAAAACCTGCTTCTTTGACTTCCTTCTCTAGATCCATATGTGAAGATCCACCTCATGCAAAACGGCAAGAGGTTGAAGAAGAAGAAAACGACAATCAAGAAGAACACCCTCAATCCTTACTACAATGAATCCTTTAGCTTTGAAGTCCCATTTGAACAAATCCAGGTAGGTTTTCCGACCGTCACACCTTCCGAGTCATCTCCTGCTTCAAGTTTCAGACCAGCTTTAAAAACACGCACTAGAGCAAGTTCATCTGCATTGATGAATAGGAGCTCGTTTACCAAATAATTGTTTTAGAGGCTTTTTCATCATAACAGTATAATCAGAGTCAATTTGTTTTAAATCAGCCTCGATTTGGCAATTAGACAAGCCAGTTGCTGAGTGGATGTGATTCTGTGCCCGTGGCGTTTATCTCGCTGCTGTTTGGCAGCAGATCTTAACGGGACAGCGATTACCATCAACGTTTAGCCGAGTTTAACCAAGTAGACAGGACTCCGATGACGGTCTGTGATCGAGGGAAGCGGGAGGTTTTATGTAAGAAAATGAGAAACTCACAACAAACGCGACGATCTCATCAGGCAGGACGGTAATTGAGTGAAATTAATTACGGCTGTCACAGCTCACAAAGCTGGAGTTCCAGAGTCAGCCCGATTCAGATCCGACCTGGAGCGTCGCTCAGATGGAACTGATGGAATCAGAAACCCCTCATCGAGCAGATTTTGAAGAGCCGACGTGACGTTGACAAATCAGTCAGAAAGATGCTGTAAATGTTAAACTAATGAGGTGTTTAACCAGCATCACCGACGGGTCTTTAGGCTCCGCCGCCTCTCAGTTTAAACAAAGAGCTGCAGGGATTTTTAATTACTCACAGCAGCATTGGCATTTCAGCGAATACACTTTAATTTGTTCATTGATTTTCTTAGATTCTTCTATTTTTTCTTTAACCCATTAACTTTTGCTACAAACTGCACAGAAAACGGGCAAATTGTCGGATTCTGGGCGAATTCAACCTTTGGGTTTAGGAAACTGTCTCACTCGTTACTGTTTTAGCTCCCAGACAAGTGAAAAAGGTTCAGTCTCCTCAGGAAGTGGATCTAATAGATTTAGGAAACAGATGTTTATATAAATCGGTGTCCAGCACGCCGGTGAAGGCTGTCAGTAATCCGGGTCATAGTGATACGAAGAGGTTCAAATGGAGGCAACTGGATTTCTTTGGTTTCTTGAAGATATTTCGCTTCTCATCCGAGGAGCTTCGTCAATTCTCATCATCATCATCATCATGATCAAACTTTATACGTAAAGCACTTCTAACAATCAGGAAGATAAACCTAAGTGCTAAACAGTACCAAAGTCATACCAAATGATAGTGCTATATCAGTTACCTAAAACCAAGATACCTCAATTATAAAAGAGCAAAGTAGAATCCATAAAACAACAAATGTAAGTGTAGGTTGTGTAAAAGCAAGTTTAGAAATGTGAAGTTTAAGCTGCTGTAGGGGCCAATCTCACTGACACAGGCTATTCTGACTGAATTATGGGAGAGTCGAGCTTATGAAATCAAAACTACTCTAACACAATAAGGCCTAACGACATCCATGACTCCTCACGCCTACTGCACACTGGAAGCAAAAGCGGCAAGAAACGGCAGCGGAAAGGTTTGCGCGACAATCACAGCACTCAAGTGCACATCGGGAGAGTCTCTGCAACGAAGCGGCTTCCCTCCCGTGCTCCTCGCTCGACTCGCGAGATCACAAAATCCCGCGAGACTTCCGCCAACCTCCTCGCACAATTGCACGTTCCTTTGAGACTTCAAAGCTTAGAGTTTATTTGTGCAATGCACCTTTAAACCAAAAAGAAGGAAGTCGCGTTTTATATCGCTGTTTGATGTCTCGTATGTTGTTGTTCCTCTCCACCGGAATAAAGCCATGAAAAGCACACCGTTGCACTCCTGGAACGATGCTGTGAGTAAATGAGCCATTAGTTCGCTCGTAATCTTCATATATATCAAATTGCATTGCTGCAATACTTTAATTTTGAAAATTACTGGGGATTTTACACCGAAACTGTGTGTGATTTCCTGTCTAGGCCTGTGTTAACTGTGATTATTGACCCACCCCAGAAGCGGCTCGCTGAATAAAACAGAACTCGACCCTTTCTTTGGCGGCGCGAAGGCTGGTTTGTTGCACTCCGCAGATTATAATGGATTCTATTGGAAGCAATGCCATTTTGCTGCCGTTCCACGCCGCTGATGCTTCTAGTGTGCAGTAGGGGTAAGGGCTAGGGAGGAGGGGTTTTCAAAAGTAGTTTCAGCTCGTTAAGCAAAAGCCGATATCTGCTGTTTATAAGCATTTACCTGCTTCAGCACGGCTTTTTGAAACATCTGAAACCTGCAGGACTGGGATTAAATCTACAACTGGAAAATGCATTCTTCTACTGAGAATCCATATTAGCATAAAACGTAGCGTAAATGTTTGGTCTTTCCTCTGCTGATGGGAATTTGGGAACATTTTGATGGTGACCTGCGAGAAACAACGCAAAGGTTTAGCCTCTTTGCTGAGTTATGTCAGCAAATGAATGCAAATAAATAAGATTTGTTCTTATCCTGCTTCTAAAATCTGAACTAAGGTGTTTGGTTTTCCCTCTAAATAAACCTTCTTCATAATAAATCCTGACTCCGCTCCTCTCTTAGCACTCCTCAAATAGGTTTTTCTATTTTTATTGTTCCTGAGCCTCTCCAGCACCCTCGCCGTGTCTGGTGGCAGTCCTTCCATGTAAAGTTCCACCATGTTCCAGTCCTTGCCGTGGTACGAGTTTGGAAAACCGGTGGCGTCCACCCCTGGTCCTCCAGGGAAACCATCCTGCATGTTTTAGACGTCTTCCTGCTCCAACACACCAACAGGTGATTAACAGCTACTTGCAGAGCTTGACAAGCTGCGGAACAGGTGATTCAACCATTGAATCAGGTGTGCTGGAGCAGGTAAACAGCTGGGTCATGCCACTACTAGGGTGCCGTTTTCCTCCCCCAGAAACTACATTCAGAAATTCTCATGAAGACTGAATGTAAAATGTACTTTCTTATGAAGTAAAGTGAGATTTATATGATTGGAATGTTTAGATTTATGATTGAAGGGATTAAAAGAACTGTCTTGAATAACAAGAAACAACATTTGTCACCTGCCTCCACTCTATTAAAGCACATTTTACAGCGAAACAAAATTCATTAAATATCAATTAAATGTACGTTTTTAGGTCTGACTATATATCCCATCTGTACTTTACATCGTTAAATACTAAAAACTACAATATTCTCGTTTATTTTCGGGTTTCTTCGATAATATTTAAACAAAGACTGAAAAAAATAATTGAAAATATAAAAAATGATTAAGAAATATGCTGCGCAGTGGTTAGAGCTGTTGCCTTGCAGCAAGAAGGTCCTGGGTTCGCTTCCTGGACTGGGATCTTTCTGCATGGAGTTTGCATGTTCTCCCTGTGCATGCGTGGGTTCTCTCCGGGTACTCCGGCTTCCTCCGACAGTCCAAAAACATGACTGTTAGGTTGAAATTGTCCTTAGGTGTGTGTGTGTGTGTGTGTGTGTGTGTGTGTGTGTGTGTGTGTGTGTGTGTGTGTGTGTGTGTGTGTGTGTGCGTGCGTGCGTGCGTGCGTGCGTGCGTGCGTGCGTGCGTGCGTGCGTGCGTGCTGATTGCCCGTTGACCGCTGGAGATAGGCACCAGCCCCCCTGACCCTGAGTGGACAAAGCGGGTTCAGAAAATGGATGGATGGTTGGATGGATTAAGAAATATGGCTAAAATGAGAAAAAAATTAATAAAATAATGTAAGGAAAGGGAAATAAAAAATTAACAGGAAAGAGGGAAATCCATGGATCCCGGGAAAGGTGGAATTGGTAGAGAATAAGGAGAGAGTGGAGATGAACGTCATGCATAAGTCCAGGGCTGGATGGTGGCCCTTGAGGACCAGTGCTGGGCCCCGCTGATCCTCAACACAGCCCTTGAGGCCCTTTCTCTCTGTTAATCTCTGCGTCTTTTAATGAAAATTCTTGTAATAAGAATGGACCCAGGTCAGTGATGACTTTAATAATTTGGCACCAAAGGAAGCTTTGTCTCAGGGATGCTATTTGAAGGTGAAGTGCCACTTTAAATGGCGACTAACCCCAGCTGGCCACCAGGGAGCCTTATTCAGCGTTTCATTACACGGCGTATTAGGCGTGCTCTTTGACAGCGGCCGATCCGAGCGCACACAGGAACACACGAGGCAGCGGCGTGCCAGTGGATCGAAGGTTAATCAGGCCGCTTTGTGCACTAATTCATATTCTGCGCCGCAGATTAACGCCCAGGTTGCTCCTCTTTGAGCAATCAGACATTCTGCTGCGTTTGGGCACTAGATACAACTGTTAATCAGCTCTAACGTGTGAAGGAGCTCCTTAAAGAAGCAACCTGGAATAATCCACACAACAATAATCCAGCTTAATTTTATAAATCTAAATATACCATTTAAACCACTTTGCATCGAGCGAAAATCAGTAAAAAAAAATCTGCTGATTTTTGTGGTTCAAGTGAAGGATGATGAGCTTGTTAATCAGACATGGACGGGGAGATTATCCTCCACTCATGCACAGAAATCAGCTGGAGCAGAGGCTTGTTGACTGGGTGAATGACTGAACCCAATTTATTCCTAAAATTACTAAGTGTGTGAATGGTGCACTGTAGTGTAAAGCGCTTTGGAGTCCTCTGACTCTGAAAGGCGCTATACAAGTGTGGATCATTTATCAGAACTACAGTTTAGAGTTTAAGTTTAAATCAAACATTAAAATCACATTTAAATGCAGACAAAATGTATTAAACGTTAATTACAGTACAAGAAGTGTGTTTAAATGGCTAAAAATGGGCTGAATGCCAGCTGAAAGGTAACATTTGGGTCAAATCTGAAGATAATCTCATCGATAATCCCATAGGCCTATTTCCATCCACCACCATCTAAAGCGTCTAAATGCTAATGATGGTTGTCTTGCTGAGGTTTGATTCAGGTCTTACGGTCTGAAAGTTAAATTTTATCTGTTTCCTTTTAGCAGTGGAATTAAGGGTGTTTCTCAAGGCCGGGCGCCTTGCTTACGAGGACACGGTCCTTCCTTGGTCAAAGAAAACGGTTAAACGGAACAGACTTGCATCACGTGACTTTGGCTTCCACGGCGGTCACGTAACATCACGTGACACGGGAGATAACGTTATATTTTATACGTATTAGTTTCAATATAAATATATAACGAGCCTTTTACTTTTTAAATTGTGTATAAGTTTATTAAATTAAATATATAAGTGAGTTACTACCCACTAGCCACCGAAGCTGCAACTACTAAGCAACTAACCAGCCATAGATAACTTCTTGTGATCTAAAGAAAAACATTTGTTGATTTATTTTAAAACTTGAAAATTGTCCCCGAAGTAGCTGCCGGCTTCTGATCCGCTGTCCTTTTGAAAATACTGCGGTGTATTGTGGGTAATTTTTTACCAAGGCTAGGCTACAAGACACCTCCCGTGTATCCTCGCTCAGCTAGCTAAACGGCTAACACACGCCTCGGTAGAACATGAACATTGGAACACGTCCTGGCGGTTCCTGATGACGTATCTCCTAGGCAACCGGGGCAGGGCCAAGACATCAAGGCGAGGTTCCTTGGCATTGAGATACACCCTAAATCTTTCATTTATTGTTTTTAAAAAGTCACAAATGAAGCCACCAAGATGAAAACAAATCCTAAAAGGTTTACTCTGAGTAAAACCTGGGATGTTCTTTCAGACGAACATTCTGATGTAAACCAAAGACAGGAGATGAAAGGCTCAGTTTGTAGCGGTGGGTTCAGAACGGGCTCTGGTGAAATCCCTGAAACAGAAAGCAGACGTTTGTGTTTAAACAAACTGCATTTGCTGTCTCCCCACTTCCCCTCCTTCCCCTCTGCAGAAAGTGCAAGTTGTTATAACCGTTCTGGACTATGACAAGATCGGCAAGAACGATGCCATCGGCAAGGTCTTTGTGGGCCTGAACAGCTCGGGCACGGAGCTGCGCCACTGGTCCGACATGCTGGCCAACCCCCGGAGACCCATCGCCCAGTGGCACGTGCTGAAACCTGAGGAGGAGGTGGACGCTCAGCTCGCCACCAAGAAATAGACAGGGCCCCTTTCAGCTCCTGCCTTGTAGTACTCTTTAGCCAGTATGTGTAAATACCTCAGTGATAAATGGGTCCATCCACGTAACCCCACCTTCACACCTTCAAGCCCCCTGGTTTCACTCGGTATTTGTCCCAACATCCAGCGACATCCTGCTTTCTTTTTCATCGATCAGTTGTTTTTATTTTGTTTGGCGTTTCTCTCTGATTTAGCGGTTGTTGACCTCCGACCCCGAGCCCTTCACCCCCACGACCAAAAGCCCCCCCCCCTTCTTTTAAGCAATATGATCTGTATAGATAGCGCATGACTGAAATAATTTATTGTACCACAGTTGTATATATAAGTATGCAGACAAAAATGATTTCTAGTTTATGTGTTTGTATGTTGTTACCCGTTTCCTAATCTGTGTATATCTCGATGTTTTTAATAAGATGTTCTATTTTAAATTATGTAAATTCAGATATAGAGGAAAGCCAATATTATATATCCCAGGATTTAAAAATTCTACCTTAATTACCTTACTGCATTCCAGAAAAAGGGTTATTTCCAACCTGCCAGTGGGAACATGTTCACGTCGTAAAGGACGACGTCTGGCTTCAGGTTCGGCATCGTGGAGGAGAGAAACAGACGAATATATTCACACAAAACTCCCCAGAAAAACAAAGAGATACACAACCATTAACTGCTATGGTTCTGTGGGGAAAATGATGCTGCTGGAAATTACACAAGCACATGATTTCTAATGTTTTGTACTTATTTCTCTCAACAGAAGATCTGTCGTATGAGTTTGGCTTCAAACAGCAGACTTCTAGGTTTGGTTTTGTCATATTTGGCAGAAAAGGGTTTTCTTTTCTTTTCCAGAACTCGAGTTGTAATCAAGAATAGCTCCGAGCTGTCAGCCATTGTGCCCTTAAACTTGTTTGACGATATTTTGTTTAAGCAGCCTTGTCGTCGTCGGAAGTGTCGCGTTCAGGTCCGACCTTTGAACGGGAGTTTGAAAAAGTCAAATAAAATCAAACGGGAGGAACAAGTTGCGACTTTGGAGGAGTATTTTTTAGGAAAATAAATTCAGCGTCTCGACTATTTTTAGTAAATTGCATGTTTTTTTTAAGAACATAAAGCTGTCAGGTGAGATCTTCCGACACCAGGGGGAGCTCTTCTGATGAGAGCCCCTTGCCTTCAATCAGAAGAAGAGTTTAAACATTTGTGGGTCGACATAATGTTGTCGGAGTCGAGGCGAGTTTCTAAACACTGCCATTTTCAGGGAGGTGACTTGTGTGGAGAGCCTCCCTTCATGCACACTCCCACTGGTTAGTGGTCGTAGCTTCAGTTTATTGGGAACAATGTCTTCGGCTGCAGCGGTGCCCTGAATCGCAGTCTTTGCTTTACGTTGCCTTCTCACAGTGACAATAGAGCTAGCCATGTTGTACTGCCAATTTGAACCTTTATGTGGTTGCTGTTTTTGCACTGGATGTCTTTAAACTCGCTCGTCGGCTTCTTTAGGAGACCGTTGCTTTGTGTCAGGACACCTGCAGGGGGAGCCAGAGATCCTCATCGACGGCAGATTTTCATGGAGCACAGAAAGTATCAGGTGTAGAAATCCAAAAGTAGTCAGGAAAGTCCGTTCCCTCAGTTCAGTGGACCATAACACAAGGATTTGCCAGATGGTAATGGGTTGATTTAACAGGGAAACTAAAGTCAACACAACACCGAATGTGAAACGAGGGCCGAAGACCCTCTACGAAGATGTAATAACATGTAACTTGAATAGTATTTTATTTTGTGATTTTCTAGTAGATATTTATTTATTCATATGAATTGAAAAGGGAAATGTAGAAATGTTCAGTTCTTTATTTTTGGGATAAATTAAATCCCAGGTTTTTGCGCTCTGTTGACGGTCCCTAAGCATTTGTCTCACACCATCGATACCTAAATTATTAACGATAGGCATAACACAAAGGTTGAAGCTGAAAAACCAAGCGCCGCCTAGTGGCTGGCTGCGGCAAAAGCTTTAAGCCCCGCCCACTCCATGTGAATGAATGGGAAATGTTCCCGGTTTAAAAAATAAAACTGCTTCTCGTTATTTTTCCAGCTGGTGACTCTTCGTGGACTTCTATAACTTCCTGTTGCACATTCAGATATTAGTTTTTCCACAATTAATTATGATTAGTCGGTCGACGCTTACGAAAAGCACCGTGATTGTGTCGGCGGGACTTTCAACCACACTTCCTAAGTGGTGAAGGCACTTGTTGCATCTTTATTTACATCCATGATCAACACTTGAGGTGACTAAAAACTCATAATGGAGCGGAAAACTAGTCCAGCTTTCCAAACACGGATTTGTTGCTTCTCCAAGTCTGCCCACATGGTTTCCTAATCCAAGAGAGCGAGTTGCAAATCCACGTGCACGGGTCACTAACCTGACGAAACAGATTTTCATCAACGTGTCGTTTTACCCCTACATCTGGTCTTGTCTTGGCTCCATATGTTTCAGGCCAACAGCATCCGTTTTGTTTCCTTGTTGGCGCGCGACTCGCCCCGGAGAGCAGGGAATAACCGTAAAAGTTAATGGTCTGCGCAGTCCATCCTGTCCTTTACTACGGGTCCAATCAGGAGTGGAATAATCCATACAATCCATCAAGTCTCGTATCTTGGAGGAACCTCTTGCATATACTCGATGCTTATACTTCAGGAGGACTTTCTAAATGTTTTCAATGTTATTGTGTAGTTGATAGCACTATTATGAAAAAGCTACTTGTCATTCCATAGGCGTCTCCGAGGACTGCTTCGTGTATCACTGTGACTGCCGTGTGTGCTTAGAGGTGTAGACTTATCAGTAGCTAACGAGTTTGTTCTGTAGTGATGTCGTAGCGTTTAATGCCATCCCCCTCCCCCCTCCTTCTACACGCAGCAAGAGAGAGAGAGAGGAAGAGCGCGCCGTCGCTTGACGTCACGCGTTTTGTTTTTATCCGAGCGGGTCGCTTCACACAGACTTTTGTTGAGCACTGTGCAATACTTGTATGTTCATCCCCATGGTGTTAACGTGGGAGGCGTGACCCGGAAACAGACCGGAGGGTGATGTTAGGACACAGCACACCGTAGACTCGGCTTATATAGGTTGGCGCTCGGTCGCCTCGGTTTCGGGTGCCCTCCCTTTTTGTTTTCTCCTCTTGCACACAGTTCCAGCATCAGACGTTTCAGGGAGTCGTAGTTCAATACCAAACAGGAGGAAAGTCCCCTTTAGACTGTAAATATTCACACCGTGTGAAAAATGTATATCAGGAATAAATATAGTGACATAAATAGAACTAATCAGTAAATATCTTTCATCCACAAGTTAAATCATCTTTTTTTTTTCCTTGTTTTGATTCAAAAACCCTTTTATATTTGAGATAAAACTCTGAATGTACAGTACGAACCGTGTTGGTGTGCGTTTCTTTAACCGTGAGATTATTAGATGTACTTTGCACTTTTTGTTGTTTGGAAAAAGAACTATACGTAGTAATTTTGTTCACGTGTTTTCAACGATTCGTTCACGGCCCCTTTGAGGGGCCCTCTGTTCAATTCCTAAACCATCATACGAGCTGCGTCCTTCCTCCACCTGAGAAGGTTTTTAATCCACACGTTTCACACGCTTCAAGTCCAGAACCGCTTCAGATTCAAACGACGGATCAAAATAAGGTACTTACTCTCCGTTCAAACAGAAATACACCAGAGTGTTTCAGGGAATTCAGTAATGGGCGGCGTTGCAGAGCCCATCAGATCATGGGGGTGAGAAACTACAAAATAAAAGCCATTACGTTCACTGCAACGCCGGCCACGCTCCTGCTATATTACGGTTTCCTACCAAAGTGTGCATGCATAATCAAACCCTCCCAGTCCTCCTCTTGTAAACAAACTGATCAAGCTCTCTGTGTGACAAGATTCTGTCCAACGAAAAGCCACTTTCAAAAAGCAAAGCTGTGTAAAGTATTAGAATCTGATGCTGTAGAAAGATCCTAGTTGCCTTCGTGTATATCAACTGCCTGCTTGAGTATTTTGTGTGTGGAAGTTTTCTCTGTAATCTCGTGGAACTGTTTGGGGTGTATTTTCCTGCCATATCGCCCGCAACCACAGCGGGCCGCTGACAGTTATCTTTGCTGTGTATACCTTCATTTTTGATGAGGTGTTTTACGGTTTCGTTCACTTTGTGTAGTGATTCACTCTGTGGTTTTCTGACTGTTGTTATATAACTTCATATACACAAATGATCAATAAAAATGTTTTATTGTTGATACATCTCACGTTGTTGTTTTTTGTTGAACTCGTTGAAGAAGCAGAGGATGTGACCTCAGCAGCTTTCTCCTAAGATCTCCAGTTTGCTGCTTATTTTCTCCCCAAGTGTCTTAAAAAGGTGAGCACTGCCATCTACAGGATCACAAGGGATGAAAGCAGCAGGTTCTCCACAGAAAAGCTGAAAACAGTCCATAAACATTAGCCTGCGTTACTTTACAACGCAGCGCGGAGGAGGATAAATCTGATTCATACGTTTAATTCTGAGTGAGGCAAAAATCATTAGTGGAAAAAACTATTATGGCCTTAAGGGCTCTTGTGTATCTAAAGTAGGCCTATCACAATAATGTTTTAAACATCAGTCATTACTGATGTATATCAATGTAAAAACTCACAATTTTGTATATCTTTATTGTTTTCTGGTATTTCAGGTATTTTTTTATTTAAAGAGCAAGTCACCCCAAATCAACTTTTTTTTCTAATAAACTATGTAAATGCGTGTCTAATCGTGCTGCAGACACGTGTAGTCAATAGTTTTGCACTTTAGTGCATTTTAGTTAAAATTTAAAATTTCTGCCTAAAACTGTCAGTGTTGTGCCATTGTCAGGTAAAAACTCTGCACTGCATTTGAATGTAAATCTGCCATCGCTGTTGGCTAAGAGGTACCCTAGAATGTTAGCTGGTACCATATGATGTCACAATGTTGTTGTGAGCCTGTGTGTGTGTGTGTGTGTGTGTGTGTGTGTGTGTGTGTGTGTGTGTGTGTGTGTGTGTGTGTGTGTGTGTGTGTGTGTGTGTGTGTGTGTGTGTGTGTGTGTGTGTGTTAGTGGCTCCGCCCTCTCGGTCTGCTAGGCTGCATTTGTTGCATTTTTCAAACAGGAAGTAGGAGTGGGGTAATACTCTGGTAGGGGTGACTTGCTCTTTAAAGTGTATTTTCAATAGCTGAAGATGTCATAAGCATTAAGCCTGGGCTCTCCCTGGGCCTTACCGTGGTGGAGGGGTTTGAGTGTCTCAATGATCCTAGGAGCTAAAGTGTCTGAGGCTTTATGCCTCTGGTAGGGTAACCCATGGCAAACAGGTCCTAGATGAGGGATCGGACAAAGAGCAGCCCGAAGACCTCTTATGATGAATTATATAAATGGAAACCATGTTCCCTCACCCGGACGTGGGTCACCGGGGCCCCCCTCTGGAGCCAGGCCTGGAGGTGGGGCACGTTGGCAAGCGCCTGGTGGCCTGGCTTTCACCCATGGAGCCCGGCTGGGCACAGCCCGAAGAAGAAACATGGGTCCCCCTTATCATGGGCTCACCACTCATGGGAGGGGCCAAAGGGGTCGGGTGCAGTGTGTGATGGATGATAGTCGAGGGCGGGGACCTTGGCGGTCTGATCCTCGCTTACAGAAACGGGTTCTTGGCACATGGAAGGTCACCTCTCTGGTGGGGAAGGAGCCTGAGTTGGTGTGTGAGGTTGAGAGGTTCCGACTAGATATAGTCGGACTCACCTCAAGGCATGGCTCTGGCTCTGGAACCAGTTTCCTTGAGAGGGGTTGGACTTTTGCCCCCCATCTTGGTGCCTGTACATTGGAGTTTACCCCAGTGAATGAGAGGGTAGCCTCCCTCCGCCTCCGTGTGGGGGGACAGGTTCTGACTGTGGTTTGTGCTTATGCACCAAACTACAGTTCAGACTACCCACCCTTTTTGGAGACCTTGGGGGGGGTGCTGGAAAGCGCTCCTTCCGGTGACTCCCTTGTTCTGCTGGGGGACTTTAACGCTCACGTGGGCGACGACAGTGAGACCTGGAGATGTGGTTGGGAGCAACGGCCCCCTGATCTGAATTTGAGTGGTGTTCTGCTATTAGGGGTGTCAAACTCATTTTAGCTCAGGGGCCACATTGCGAGAAATCTAGTCCCAAGTGGGCCGGACCAGTAAATTAAAAACAACTTCAGATTGTTTTCTTTGTTTTAATACAATCATTATAAAACAAGGCTGGAGCCTGAGGACAGTGTATCCAAAATAGTACAAGTACAACCCTTGAAGTGTACTTGAAAATTTGAAATAAATAAATAAAAAAACATTCCTTAGTGATTCAAAGAGCTTACAGATCACATGGCTAGATCAGTTTCATGCAGCACTTAAAGTGTATTTGACTCATTTTACTTTACATATTTTAGCTTTCACCAGCACATCAGTATCAGAAGTCACATCCTGAGTGGCAGCCAACTTCAGGATGTGATTCAAGTTCTTGTGTGAGCCTTGAGCGCAGCTTTGCTTTATTTATACTCATTAGAGAAAACTTGCTCACAAACATACGTTTATTTTCACTCTCCATTGTAAAGTATGAAAATAAAGTTTACACAACCATCTCGCGGGCCGGATTTAACCCGTTTGCGGGCCGGATCCGGCCCACAGGCCGCATGTTTGACACCCCTGGTCCATAATGAACACCATGTTCAGACATAAAGGTGTCCATATGTGCTCTTGGCACCAGGATACCTTAGGCCGCAGCTCAATGATTGACTTTGTTGTTGTTTCATCTGACTTGCAGCCGCATGTCTTGGACACTCGAGTGAAGAGAGGGGCGGAGCTGTCAACTGACCACTACCTGGTGGTGAGTTGGCTCAGATGGTGGGGGAGGATGCCAGTCAGAACAGGCAGGCCCAAACGTATCCCGAGGGTCTGCTGGGAACGTCTGGCAGAGTCTCCTGTCAGAAGGAGCTTCAATTCCCACCTCTTTCAGAACTTCCAAAATTTTCCGGGGGAGGCGGGAGTCTGAATGGACCCTGTTCCGTGCCTCCATTGTTGAGGCGGCCGACCGGCGCTGTGGTTGCAGGATCGTTGGTGCCTGTCGTGGTGGCAACCCCCGAACCCGCTGGTGGACACTGGCTGTTAGGGATGCTGTCAAGCTGAAGAAAGAGTCCTATCAGGTCTTTTTTGGCCTGTGGGACTCCAGAGGCAACTGACGGGTACCGGCAGTCCAAGCACAACACGGCTCGGGTGGTCGCCGAGGCAAAAACCTGGACATGGGAGGAGTTCGGTGAGACAATGGAGCAAGACATCCGTATGGCTTCGAGGAGATTCTGGTCCACCATCCGGCGCCTCGGGGTAGGGAGCAGTGCATTACCAACATTATCTATAGTGGGGACGATGTGCTGCTGACCTCTACTCAGGACGTTGTGCATCGGTGGGCAGAATACTTCGAAGACCTCAATCCCACCGACACGTCTTCCAGTGAGGAAGCAGAGTCTGGGGACTTTGAGTTGGCCTCTCAAATCTCTGGTGCTGAGGTCACTGAGGTGGTTAAAAAGCTCCTCTGTGGCAAGGCTCCAGGGGTGGATGAGATCCGCCCGGAGTTCCTTAAGGCTCTGAATGTTGTGGGACTGTGTTGGCTGACGCGGCTCTGCAATAGCGCGTGGACATCGGGGGCAGTCCCACTGGACTGGCAGACCGGGGTGGTGGTCCCCTTATTTATAAAGAGGGACCGCAGGGTGTGTTCCAACTACAGGAGGATCACACTCCTGAGTCTTCCTGGTAAGGTCTATTCAGGGGTTCTGGAGAGGAGGGTCCGTCAGATTGTTGAACCTCAGATTCAGGAGGAGCAATGTGGTTTTCGTCCTGGCCGTGGAACACTGGACCAGCTCTATACCCTTAGGGGGATCCTGGAGGGTGCGTGGGAATTTGCCCAACCAGTCTACATGTGTTTTGTGGATTTGGAGAAGGCGTTTGACCGCGTCCCTCGGGGGGCCCTGTGGGGGGTACTCCGGGAGTATGGGGTACCAGGCCCTCTGATACGGGCTGTTAGGTTCCTGTATGACCGGTGTCAGAGCTTGGTCTGCATTGCCAGCAGTAAGTCGGGCTCGTTCCCAGTGAGAGTTGGACTCCGCCAAGTCTGCCCTTTGTCACCAATTCTGTTTATTACCTTTATGGACAGGATTTCTAGGTGCAGCCAAGGTGTGGAGGGCATCCGTTTTGGTGGCCTGAGGATCAGGTCTCTTCTTTTTGCAGATGATGTGGTCCTGTTGGCTTCATCAGAACGTGATCTTCAGCTTTAGCTGGAGCGGTCCGCAGCCGAGTGTGAAGCAGCTGGGATGAGAATCAGCTCCTCTAAATCTGAGACCATGGTCTTGATTCGGAAAAGGGTAGAATGCCTTCTTCGGGTCAGGGATGAGGTCCTGCCCCAAGTGGAGGAGTTTAAGTATCTCGGGGTCTTGTTTACGAGTGAGGGAAAACTGGAGCGTGACATCGACAGGTGGATTGGTGCTGCATCTGCAGTGATGCGGGTGTTGTACCGGTCTGTCGTGGTGAAGAGAGAGCTGAGTCAGAAGGCGAAGCTCTCGATTTACCGGTCGATCTACGTTCCTACCCTCACCTATGGTCATGAGCTTTGGGTAGTGAACGAAAGAACGAGATCGCGGATACAAGCGGCCGAAATGAGTTTTCTCCGAAGAGTGGCTGGGCTCTCCCTTAGAGATAGGGTGAGAAGCTCGGTCATCCGGGATGGGCTCGGAGTAGACCCGCTGCAAGCATTTTGGGTGAACAGAACGAAAATGGAAATATTCTTCTGTTGATGTCAAAATAATGAAACAGTCATTGAAAAATCTATTCTCTACATCCCTTTGCTTGTTTTAAAAATAGCTTATTTAAGAATAAGCAAATATAATTATTAAGATTAAAAATGTTAATATCCTCAGTGCAAATTTAAGCAGCTTTTAAACAAAAAAAATATCAAAATAATGAAATAGAAATTGTCTAAACTCAGAAAGAATTCAGGGTTAGGGTTCAGGCATGACTCTGGAGAGAGGCCGACTGTGATCAGCTGTTGCTTCTGAACCAGTAGGGTGTGTGTGTGTGTTGTTGTTGTTATTATTATTTAATTATTTACAAGAGAACTAGGCAGTTTTGGCTTGCTTTTAGCATCCCCCAGTGCATGTTTGTAGAACCAAAAGCAAAACGTATCTCCTCGCCGTTTGTATTTTTAACCCCTTAATTTTAATGCTGAAATGTCTACCCAGCCTTCTTTAGTATCTACAGAAGTGATTCATCACCAAATTAAACAAACCAGCTATGTTCGTGAACTAAAACATCAAGGACACATGCTGGAAATAGACTGCAGCGCCAGGTATGTCGGCTCCTTTTTTTTGTTTACTCTTCAGTTGCAAGTGGAACATTATTGCCACAGGAGGCCATCGGGGCTGGTTGGCCTTTCATTAAAATAGTAAAGGATCGTTTTTACACACACTGGCTCAAGAAAATAATTTAGAAATGTGAAAAGTTGTGTAGTGTCTCAGAACCTAGATGTAGTTTCAACTTGGTGCCACTGGAGGGCATTGATTCCCCTCCACATCCATATTAAGGCAATAAAATTGTTTTTAATTAATCTATTCCAGCCAGATGATTGGTCCAACATGGAGCAATTCTAGTATTATGCCACATGATTGGCTCAAGTGAAAAAGGAAGGGAAACTGTTTTATGTACCCTTTATTTAATCGCAGTGTGCTCTATCGTTATATATCGGTATTGGATTATTGTCCCGCGGCAGTCCTAGTCCAACGACACATTGCATCTTTTAAAAAATCTGACCACATCACCTATTCAAGCTTATGCGGTTTCAAACTTGGTGTTGAGAAGAGGTTCCAAGGTTTCCTTTCCGATATCAAACCTGTATGACAGGGAAACTGGCGACGCCATGCTTTACTAAACAGTAAACAACCATAAAGTAATTTCAATTAACCGTCAATACACAAAATCTCACTTGTAAATTCAATCTAACAAATAAGTTTGTAACACCAAATTGTCATCTTCTTGCTCACTCGTGATTGCATGATTATTTGTTTATTGTGAATAGCTGGTGGTCATAAGGAGATGTAATATCAGAAACAAAGCTAGTCAGCTGCAGGAGGAAATGATAGATTAAAATCAGGTCAACCCATGAAGCATGACAACTAAAAATAGAGGAGCCCTAATCTGTACGTGCATGAAAAAAAATACAGTTTGGGTCGGAGTGTATTTCTGGTGTACCATTTCATTGTGTAAAAAATAGGTGGTGTTAATTTCAACGTCATTTAATTTCAATAGCAATAAAAACATTTCAGAAGCGTTTTCAATTAAAGTATTTATTTCACACTGGGGAAGTAGATACGTGGATAGATAATATTATTTTAACAGTGATTGATAAGTGTTGTTTAAATAATACGTTTAGCCGTTATTTTTAAGTTGTTTTTGTTTTGTTTTGTTTTGTTTTGTTTTGTAAATCCATACCCAATAAGGAAGTGACGTTGGATCAAAGCACCGGAAGTTTCCAAAGCAGACCTTTGTAAAGTTTGTGTTTTTTCTACCTTAAATCAGAAAGTAATAGAAAACACCTCGCTGTAATATTATTAATAATAAAATATTTTTAGTTTTGAAATGTTTTAAGGGCTGAGTTTTAAAAAAAATTTAGCACGGCTTTTACTTTTTGGAATCCCCAGCCGGATGTTGTTCTCCGTACATGCTTAGGACGCCTTCCATGAGGGATTGGTTCTCCTCCCCTTCATAGCGTTTGTTGGTAGCGACCTCCAGCGCAGCTGCTTTCTGCTCCGACGAACAACCTTTCCGTTATCTAAACAGACTGAAAATGTTGTCCTACATCATTGGCGTGAGTATTCATCAATGCAACTTTCTCACGCAAGTCTTGCTTCTGCTAATTTTTTAGCACTAGTCAAAGCTAGCTTGAGCTAAGGTGTACTCTTCCAAACTAAGTGAAGTTGGGCCTCCCCGCAGGAATTTGCGTGACTCATTTTCTCCAGTTAGGGATTTCCTATAAATGACATTTAGCTCGACAACGCCCTGCAGACGTCTCAAACAGTGGGTAGCTAATGCTAGCCGGTGGTCTGAGTCATTCTCCTGCTTTTGACCTTCTCTTCGCAGCTGATTCGAGGCGGTTTTGACAGCATCGTGAACCTCATCTTCAGACTTTTCTTCTCCAAGAGGAGACCTGCAATCACCTTGGAGGACCCAAACATTAAATATGCTCTGCGGCTGATTGACAAACAGGTGAGAAGGATGAACGCAGCGCTGCTGTCTGAACGCAGCAGCAGATCCGTTCACGTACCAGCGAGGTGTGCAGCTTTGATCTGTGTTGTTTGAGGAACTGTTTATTTTTTTCTTGTTTAGATTGTAAGTCACGACACGAGGAAGTTCCGCTTCGCTCTGCCTTCTCCTCAACACGTCCTCGGCCTGCCCATCGGTCAGTATGCGCAGCTAAGAGCCATGTTGCCACGCCCATCGTGTTCAAATGCTCCAAACACAATAATGGTTTATTGTCACGTGCAACAGGATTAGTGTGCAGCTCAGTGTTGGTGCACGAGAAATACCAAATTTAAGTAAAATGAAAAGCCAAGATTTCTGCTAAGGTAAATGCTTTATCACGGTGAATGGATGTAAGTATGGCTGCATGTGGCTGTTAAAGTGTTTGTATGCATAGTAGAGTTGAGCTCACGGCAGCATCAGGTCTTCGTCAGCATGGTGGTATGTAGGGTCAGTCTGGTGCAGCTCTAGGACTGAAGCTGTCCCTCAGCCTGCTTGGGGTGAGGGTGTGTTGGGTCCTTGCAGGCATTGGCTGTGTTTTGGATGCCGTTCATATTTTGTGTTTGGAGTTCTGCTCTAGTGGTCTCCCGTAAACTGCTGCTGAGGTTTTCTGAGGAGATGCAGTATGTGAAGACGCTCCGGATCAGGGGTATTTAACTCTGGGCCTGGAAAGCAGGTATCCAGCACGTTTTAGTGGTTTCTCTGCTCCCAACACGCTTCATTCAGTGGTCGAACCATCTGTGCAGCAGCCAGTTAATTACCTGCTGATTGAAATCAGGTGTGTTGAAACTTAAAGGTGCTGGGTACGGCTCATGGTGGAGCAGCAGGAGAATGTTGTTGGCATGTTTCTCAACTGTTGAGCTTTTCTAAAACATTCCTTTTCTTTTAGTAAGCAGGTACGAAAAAACATTTTTGAAATCACAACGTCTGTCTTGGAAAAGAAAAGAAGGAATATTGGCTCCTGCCATCAGTTTTGAAATTATTGATCATTATTTCTTTGCTCTGAACCATAATGCTGTTTTAGAGAACCTGAAATTGTATCAGTCAATGTATTATGGTGCTTGTCCATGTAAGGCCCTGAAAACCAAAACCAGGATGCTGAAATGAACCCTGAAGTTGACTGGCAGCCAGTGAAGCTGGAGGAGAGGCGGGGTGATGTGGGTGTGTTTGGAGGACTTGGTCAGAAGCCGAGCACAGGCGTTCTGAACCACCTGTAGACGGTTCAGGGAGGTTCTGCTCAGAAAAGCCAGCTGCAGTAGTCTAAACAAGCCTTGCAGCTAGCCTGTCACGGAGCAGGCTTGTCCACAATAGTGATGGAGAAACCAAAGCTGTCCAAACCACTGAACCAATATGAAGCAAATGGTTCAGTGTCGTGAATCATTTGAACCCAAGAAAATGAGTGACATCTGCTGGCCAGCATCAGCGTGGCACACAAAAGTCCAAATCTGTCTGTTTCTGTCTGTTTTACATCAGATAAGTTAAACAGTTGTTATTACTCTTCTGTCAGTAGACATAATATTTATGGAGTTGTGTTAGTGACTGTCCCAGCAGCAGGCATCGACTCAGGAGGTGTGAACAGGGATGGGTCTGAGAAGAGGACTTCTATAATCCCATGCTTCATTCTAATCATGGGGGTGACCATCCCAGAGTTGGGACTTGTAAATCCTTAAATTAATGGAGAAGCTCTAAAGATACTTAAAGACACATTTCTGCCGCCAACCATATTGACCTCCTCGCCCTGAATTCAAGGCTGACGTGAAGCATGTGATGTCATGAAGCTTCGTTTGGAAAAGTCACGTGATCTTACGCACAATGAAGCAAGGCATCGCCACGTCTTTGAAGGTCGATACAGAAGTGAGCCCCCCCGCTCAAGGATAACATTACTAGTCCCCAAGCATGTGTCACCACATGAGTGGGCGGGGCTTACCCCTCCTTTCCACCGGAGCCGTGACGTAGCCGTCAGCAGCACGTTACTGCAGCAGCACGTCATAGCTGCTGATAGGAACCGCTGTGGTCAACAGAACCTTTTCCACCGGAGCCGTCAGCAGCGCGAGTCGGCCGCGTCTCAGGAGCAGCATGTCGCCGCCCTTACGTGCCGGTTCTATTTTCTACGCGCTACGCCTCTGAAACGGGTCAAGTTCGACATTTTTGGGGAAGTAAAGACAGGAAATCGGACGCGGAAACAGAGCGAAGCTCCCCGAGATTTTCAGAATAAAGAAACGTACTGCCTTCCGGTTGCTTTACATTTTAAAAAAAAGTTGTCACCTAGCTAGCGGTCTCCTTTGTTTTTCCATAATGGATGACGAAAGGTTGACTACTGAAGTGGAGAAGTATCCAGTCCTGTTTGATCCCAGTCACAGTTTTCATAAAGACAACGTCAAGAAGGATAATGCATGGAGTGACGTATCTGCGGTTTTAGGGCAAGATGGTGAGTTTATGCTAATTATTAACGTGATTTCTTTTGTAGTTTTCTCCTGCTTGTTGTTGTGTTTACTGACAAAGTCACGCGTGATTTTGCTAATGTCGCGTGACTTCGTGTTTGTCGGTGACAGCTGCTCCCCTGCTGCTTCGCGTCTCGTGGGAAGGGCCAAGCAGCAGCATACGCGAGCTAGACGTGCTGCTGCAGTAACGTGCTGCTGACGGCTCCGGTGGAAAGGAGGGGTTATGGTCAGCCTCGTTCGCAGAACCAAATTAGGGGAAAATGAACCGGGATTGTCAGAGTAAGCCTGGTTAATGGGATTAGCCCTCTGCTTTACTCTCCGGTATCTTTGCTTTGCTGCGTTTTATGTGATTCTCTGTTTGGTGTAAAGACTAAAGATGAACCGAAGCCACGTTTGTGAACCATCTGTTTGTTTTTTGTTGCAGGGCAGCACATTTATCTGTCTGCAAAAGTAAACGGGCAGCTCGTCGTCCGCCCGTACACGCCAGTGTCCAGCGATGATGACAAAGGCTTCGTGGACCTGGTGGTGAAGGTGAGAGCAGAACCCTTTTCTGTTTTGATGCATTTACATCTCACTTGTTCTGTGCTCACAGGTTTACTTTAAAGGCGTCAACCCAAAATTCCCCGAAGGAGGGAAGATGAGTCAGCACCTGGAGAGCCTGAAGGTCAACGACACGGTAGACTTCCGAGGACCCAGCGGCCTCCTTGTTTACAAAGGAAAAGGTGAGTGGCGTAAAGTGAGGCGTGGCTGTGGGACGGAGACGGGGTGCGCCCTCACACGACCCGGGATCAGATTAAAGCTCAGTCCCTCAGAAGTAAAGAAGTAAAGGGAAGTTAAAGTGTCGCTTTTCCTCTTTAGGTGTTTTTGCCATTCAGCCTGAGAAAAAGTCTCCAGCTGTGACCAAAACAGCCAAACATGTGGGCATGATCGCTGGAGGAACAGGTGAGGGGAACCCTGGCATTAAAGCCGCACCGATGCTAACACGGCTCTACTAAACATAAGATTATAAAACTATCAAATCATTTTTATTTATTTTTACAGATAAAAAAAAGATAATACAGTAACATAATAGGACAGGATGAGCTAAAAGGGCCAATTGCTTCATGTAAAGGGACTTTACAGAGTTTTGAATTTTTATGCTCGCGATTGCCCCCTCAGGCCAAAAGCGTAACGGCAGCTTCAATAGTAGGCTCGTGCATGAGGCGCGCATGCTGTACGTGCACACTCCTTAATGAAAATAACAGCTGAGACAGTCCCTTGTGTGTGATGGTCTGTGTGTGTGTGTGTGGGGGGGGAATTAATAAATAATTTGGTTCTGTACCTTTCTCTTCAGCACAGCCGACAAAGGTTTATGATGGGTCAGTCCTCCTGCATGCTCAGATCATTCCCTTCCCTTGCTTGAAAAATTGTTCCAAAATGAAAGTTGAACCCACATCTTTTTATCCGTGAATTCAAAGCCGTTCGGCGAGTCTCAAATAAAAATTTGGGCATCTTACTGTAAAAAAAATTTCACTAATGTAAAAAAGAAACACTAGAACAACTACAGGTGCTGGCCAGTAAATTAGAATATCATCAAAAGGTTGAAAATATTTCAGTAATTCCATTCAAAACGTGAAACTTGTACATTATATTCATGCAATGCACACAGACCAATGTATTTCCGATGTTTATTACGTTTAATTTTGATATTTATAGGTGACAACTAATGAAAACATCAAATCTGGTATCTCAGAAAATTAGAATATTCTAAAGGCCAATGAAAAAATGTTTGTTTCTCTAATGTTGGCCAACTGAAAAGAATGAACATGAAAAGAATGTGCATGTATAGCACTCAATACTTAGTCGGGGCTCCTTTTGCCTCAATAACTGCAGTAATGCGGCGTGGCATGGACTCGATCAGTCTGTGGCACTGCTCAGGTGTTATGAGAGCCCAGGTTGCTCTGATAGTCGTCTTCAGCTCCTCTGCATTGTTGGGTCTAGCGTATTGCATCCTCCGCTTCACAATACCCCATAGATTTTCTATGGGGTTAAGGTCAGGCGAGTTTGCTGGCCAATCAAGGACAGGGATACCATGGTCCTTGAACCAGGTGCTGGTGGTTTTGGCACTGTGTGCAGGTGCCAAGTCCTGTTGAAAGGTGAAGTCTGCATCCCCATAAAGTTGGTCAGCAGCAGGAAGCATGAAGTGCTCTAAAACTTCCTGGTAGACGGCTGCATTGACCCTGGACCTCAGGAAACAGAGTGGGCCAACACCGGCAGATGACATGGCACCCCACACCATCACTGACGGTGGAAACTTTACACTGGACCTCATGCAACGTGGATTCTGTGCTTCTCCGCTCTTCCTCCAGACTCTGGGTCCTTGATTTCCAAAGGAAATGCAGAACTTGCTTTCATCAGAAAACATAACTTTGGACCACTCAGCATCAGTCCAGTCCTTTTTGTCCTTGGCCCAGGCGAGACGCTTCTTGCGCTGTTTCATGTTCAAGAGTGGCTTGACACACGGAATGCGACACCTGAATCCCATGTCTTTCATGAGTCTCCTCGTGGTGGTTCTTGAAGCGCTGACTCCAGCTGCAGTCCACTCTTTGTGGATCTCCCCCACATTTTTGAATGGGTTTGTCGTCACAATTCTCTGCAGGGTGCGGTTATCCCTAGAGCTTGTACACTTTTTTTCTACCACATTTTTTCCGTCCCTTCGCCTGTCTGTTAATGTGCTTGGACACAGAGCTCTGCGAACAGCCAGCTTCTTTAGCAATCACCTTTTGTGTCTTGCCCTCCTTGTGCAAGGTGTCAATGATTGTCTTTTGGACAGCTGTTAAGTCAGAAGTCTTCCCCATGATTGTGGTGCCTTCAAAACAAGACTGAGGGACCTTTTAAAGGCCTTTGCAGGTGTTTTGAGTAAATCAGCTGATTAGAGTGGCAGCAGGTGTCTTCTATATTCAGCCTTTTCAGAATATTCTAATTTTTTGAGATACCAAATTTGGAGTGTTCATTAGTTGTCACTTATGAATATCAAATTTAAATGTAATGAACATTGGAAATACATTGGTCTGTGTGCATTGCATGAATATAATGTACAAGTTTCACGTTTTGAATGGAATTACTGAAATATTTTCAACCTTTTGATGATATTCTAATTTACTGGCCAGCACCTGTATGTTCACATCCAGAATCGAACTCGCATCTTCCGCACGTAAGTCCGAAGTTTATCTAGGTGAGCTAAACTGCCAGTGGCGTTTTCTGTATCCGTAACATTTATATCCTTGATGACAGCTGAAACAACGTCCAAAGAACGGTTCGGAGGGCTATGCCTGAGCGTGAACGTGCATGAAGCAGCCTGCTCGACCCGAGCATCTCTCTTTTTCTGTGATTTTTACAGAAAAACAGGCAATCACAGTAAAAATGCCAGGACTCATTCTACAGGACCAGGGCATTGCAGGAGAATGTATGAAGAAGACATTTATTATTTCTATACATGTTTTGGCTGTCAAACTTCCATAATGTCCCTTTTTCATTTGTAAGTCGCTTTGGACAAAAACGTCTGCTAAATACATAAACATACATAAACATTAAAGGATTCACATTAAAAAATGAGTTTTTCATTTGAGATTTACATCCACTCTTTTAAAGAGGAAGTCACTCCAAATCTTTTTTTTTTTTGCTGATAAACTATATAAATGAGTGTCTGATCATGCTGTAGACACATGTAGTCAATAATTCGGCACTTTATTTGTTATTTATTCTGCCTAAAACTGTCAACGATGCACTGTCGTCAGGCAAAAACTCTGCACTACATTCGAATTTAAATCTGCCATCGCTATTGGCTAAGAGGTACACTATGATGTTAGATGGTAAATTATGATGTCACAATGTTGTGAATGTGTGTATTTGTTAGCAGCTCTACACTCTCGGTCTGCTAGGCTACAGCATTTGTTGCATTTTTCAAACAGGAAGTGGGAGTTGAGTAAGAATCTGGTAGGCGTGACTTGCTCTTTAAGGTAGTTTTCCCCAAAATTCCATATTTTATGATCTAAAAAGTTTCGTTCTTAAAATAAAGTTGAATAAAACGATTTCATGGGACTCTTATTTTGTTTTTATTTAAATATTAGACCTTCATCATTTAATTTGGTAACAAAAAGTTAAACTATTGAACTTGTATAGTAAATATATTGTATTCATTAAACCCTTAAATTTCCAGGTTTAATGAACACAGAGTTTTTGTCCCATGGGCGGGACGCTGGAATGCTAAGGGGTTTAATGTGTTTTTATTGTAAAACTTTTCATTTGGAAGGCCAGATTTAGGTTCCTGCTTTCATCAGAATATTTGTACACAAACATTTATTTAATTGGGATAAAATGGCTTTAATGGATTTCACTTATTTTCAAACCCTTTAGGTTTTTTTTTAATTGTTAGAGCAATAAAAACCTTTCCCATAAGGCAATCGTTCCAGCAGCTTTATTCACCCAGAGGGTGACCCGATCAGTTTTGTCCCACTTTAGCCAACAGAAACAAAAAAATATGAAATTAGATGCTATTCCATGATTTTTTTATTTGATCTGAACAGAGTTAAAGGTCAAATGTGTAAGAATGACATCCTTTGGTCTAATTAGGGCACTACAGTCACTCAGTGCCGTTCTGAGTTCCATAGCTTTTGAATGACCGATTAAAGGAAGTAAAACGCCACGATTGACCCACTACAAGCTTCACACACACACACTTCACTGTATTATTGTAGGGGTGACGGTGGCACAGGAGTTAAGTGCTCGCCTCGTAAATGGAAGGTTGCAGATTCGAGTCCCACTCAGTCTGTCGCTGTCATTGTGTCCTTGGGCAAGACACTTAACCCACCTTGCCTGCTGGTGGTGGTCAGAGGGACCGGTGGCGCCAGTGCTTGGCAGCCTCGCCTCTGTCAATGCGCCCCAAAGCAGCTGTAGCTACAACGCATGGGTGAATGATTGTGTTGTAAAGCGCCTTGAGGGGTTCCAGGACTCTAGAAGGTGCTATATCAAATACAGGCTTTTACATTTGAGTCATTGTTGATTGAAAATTGAGAATTTTTAGAGCAAACTATTTGCTTCTAATTCACAGTTAGCCTCTAGTCTGCTTCACCTAAAGCTTGGTTTATGCTTGACGCGTCCGTGAGGTCCGCGCGGCTAAATTGCGTCATTTTAACAACCACGCCCCTCCACCGCGCCTCTGCACGGCCCAAACTTTCTGCACCGCACACCTAGGAAATTTTCTAACCACGCGAATGGTCGGACGTGGAAAAACTTGGCGGACTGGCAAGAACTAGTATGGCAGAGGTTCGTAAATCCAATTCAATTCAATTCAAAAATACTTTATTAATCCCAGAGGGAAATTGATTGCTGTAGTAGCTCAGAATAATAATAATAATCAAGTCATCAAAGAGTTGTTGTATATTACAATGGCTGTTGGCAGGAAGGATCTCCAGTAGCGGTCAGTGTTGCAGCCAAACTGAAGAAGCCTCTGACTGAAGACACTCTTCCGTTGTCGGACAGTCTTGTGAAGAGAATGCTCAGGGTTGTCCATCATTTTCTTGATTCTCTGGAGAATCCTTCTTTGCATTATCTCCTCCAGCGGTTCTACAGTCGTCCCCAGAACAGAACCAGCCTTTTTTATTAGGCTGTTGAGCCTTTTCAGGTCCCTGCTTCTGATGCTGCTACCCCAACAGACGATGGCTGAAGAGATTACACTCTCAACAACAGACTTGTAGAAGATCTGCAGCATCTTGCTACAGACACTGAAGGACCTAAGCGTCCTCAAGAAGTGCAGTCTGCTGTGTTCCTTCTTGTAAACGGCTTCACTGTTCTTTCTCCAGTCCAGTCTGTTGTCCAGGTGAACTCCAAGGTATTTGTATTCCTCAACCACCTCCACTTCTTCTCCCATGATGGAAACAGTGTTTGACTCCACCCTGTTTCTTCTGAAGTCTAAAATCATCTCCTTTGTTTTGTTCACATTCAAGGTCAGATGATTGTTTCCACACCATGCCACAAAGCGCTCCACCAGCTCTCTGTACTCAGCTTCCTGTCCATCTCTGATACACCCGACAACTGCAGAGTCATCTGAGTATTTCTGTAGATGACAGGCCTCTGATTTGTACTGGAAGTCTGAGGTGTACAGGGTGAAAAGGAATGGTGAGAGTACAGTCCCCTGTGGTGCTCCAATGTTACTGATCGCCTGGTTTGATGTGTAGTTCTTCAGCCTCACAAACTGTGGTCTGTTTGTCAGGTAGTCTTTAATCCAGGCGATAGCTGAGGCCCCCACCTGTGTCTTCTGGAGTTTCTGGCAAAGTACATCAGGCTGGATTGTGTTAAATGCACTGGAGAAATCAAAGAACATGACCCTGACAGTGCTGCCTGCTTTGTCCAGATGACAGTGGGTTGGTTGAAGCAGCTGGATGATGGCATCTTCAACTCCAACTCCATGGCGATAAGCAAACTGCAGCGGGTCCTGATATGTTCTAGTTTGCTTATTCAGGTGGACCAACAGGAGTCTCTCCAGGACCTTCATGATGTGGGATGTCAGGGCAACCGGTCTGTAGTCGTCATTGACTGATGGGCGAGTTTTCTTTGGAACTGGAACAAGGCAGGATGTCTTCCACAGGCCTGGAACCTTCTCCTGGACCAGGCTGAGGTTGAAGAGGTGCTGCAGAATCCCACAGAGCTGCTCTGCACAGGCCTTCAGTACTCTGGGGCTGACACCATCTGGACCTGCAGCCTTGTTCCTGTTCAGTCTCTCCAGCTGCCTCTTCACCTGACTTCTAGAGACAGATAGGTGGGAGGGGGAGGTAAATGGGGCAGCAGCATCTCCTGACTTGGTTGAAGACAGATTTATAGAACCAGAAGTGTCCATGACTGCGTTAGGACAGAAGTACAGACATTTGTATGATTCAGCTCTCAAAGATCACTGTGATCAACATGTTAATAATTCTTGGAGAGAAATAGCTCGCACTGTCGGAAAAGACGAGGATGCTGTTAAAATAGCTGACATGCCATGTTGTAAACAGTAATTTCTACTTCTACTATGGTGGTGTTGGATGCATGCCGTAGAGCTCCATGCTGCCCCCTACAGTTTGGGAGAATATTGGCTCACTGCAGAGACAAGCAGCATGAACCATAAACGCTGCGAGTTGTAAAGCGCGTTCCATCTGCGAGCCGCATCACCAAACGGAAAGTAAATGTGTCAAGCATAAACCAAGCTTAATATTGGAGTGAAACAAAAGATGCCGTGGCTCCTGGGTTGCACCGGTTTGCTGTTTCAGTTCTTTAAACAACTCCGGAGCCTTTTGTCTGCTGATGTTAAATATCATAAGCTGACGCTGCAGCGTTAGTTCTCTGGAGACACAGCAACCCCACGCTCACTGTTATAAATGGTGACTTTGTCTCGTTTTTGGTTTTTTTTAAGGAGAAAACTGACTGTTTTGTAGTAGAATTCTTACATATTGCTTCTTTAAATTGCTAAAAAATGAGAAGTCCACTAAAGTAAATACATTTCTATGTGCAAAACCCTACAAAGTGATGATCTGAGGCCACGTGTTGCAGTATCGAGCTGTTAAACGGTGATGAAATCTGAGAGAACCCTGGTTCTGTCATGTGAGACAGTTCCAGTTCATTTCTGATTAAGGCGACACACACAAGGTCCAAAATAATCCATCAGCTGGTTCCTCCAGATAAAAAATCTTTCTGCAGAATTTAGTCAAATAAAAACAAATCTAACCAGAGGTGACATTTTTTTCCAGGGATCACCCCCATGCTGCAGCTCATCACAGCTGTGATGAAGGATCCTCAGGACCAAACGGTGTGTCACCTGCTGTTTGCTAACCAGGTGAGCTCCATAAACCAGGAACACAACCAGTGATGCAGTAAGGTGGGTTTCCAGGAGCACTACTCGGCCTAAAACAGCTCTGTACAGCGGGGTTTGAGTCGGCCCATCTGAGTGTAGCGGATGCCAGCTCCATGACAAAATAACACGAGGAGGTCGGTAAACAGCGGAACGTAACCTGTGCTCCACAGAAACACAACCGAGCTGAAAAATGTTGGTGTTGTTGGACATTTAGCTCAGTTTGGTGGCTTTTTGTCACTCTGAACCAGGACATGGCAGCAGGCAGTGAAACGGAAGGCCAAAAAACTCCAGAGCAACCAGTGACTCCGCCCACTAGCCAATCAGCAGCCAGACTCAACCTTGTCGGGTACCTAAACGGAGCAGGGACTAAAAAAAGGGGAGCAGGTAGAGGGAAAATACCAAACAGTGGTCAGGCCGAGCTGCACCGCTCCGAGTTACTGAGTAGTGTTCCCTAGAAAACCACCCTAACTGGTCCAGTCCCAGTTGGACCCAGTTAGGTCTGTTGTTCGTGTCCCGATGATTAAAACGAATGGATAACAAAGTGTCGTGTCCACAGACTGAGAAGGACATCCTGCTGCGGGATGAGCTGGAGGAGATCCAAGTCAACCATCCGGACCGCTTCAAGCTGTGGTTCACCGTGGACCGAGCACCTGAGAGTGAGTTCTTGATCCGGACCCGTCATGAAATCCAGATCATGTATAAAAGGTGGCGATGCAAACTGGAGACTAAAACGATGCTTGCTGCCATATTCTTTCACATAAAACCTAATTCAAAGAAACGCTGTTTTAGCAACGGCACCAATAAGTTATGAGAGCAGACCTCCTCAGTATTCTGTTCTTCTGATGGCATTTCATAATTCAGATTTTTATATGAAAATATATAAATGTAGTTTTCTTTGTAACTGTCTCATGCAGGGTTTAATAGACGTTCGTCAGGAGCTTTAACTGTTCATTCGATTCATTTATCTGATTCAGAAAGCTTAAACGTGTTGTTCCACCTTTTCATCAGCAGGTGTCACTGTTTCCACAGAGTGGTTGAGTCTGGGGGGCTGATTTGTTTTTCAGACTGGGAGTACAGCCAGGGCTTCATCAGCGAGGACATGGTGAGGGAGCGTCTGCCCCCTCCCAGCGACGACACCCTCATCCTGATGTGTGGACCTCCGCCCATGATCCAGTTCGCCTGCAACCCCAACCTGGACAAAGTGGGACACTCCTCAAGCCACAGGTTCACCTTCTAGAGGTCCGTCCACCCGGAAGAAACGAGGGCAGGATATTGTACGGGACTCTGGCTCTCGTTTCTGCCGTGACTAACGCACTAAAGCAGCAAGTATTGCACATCGTTTGTTGATCATGTGGCACAATCACAGCAAGGACCAACGAATGAGGGGTGGAAGTTTGGGATGGAATTGTTTACGTGTTTGGTGTGATAACGGGGACGTGTTTAGAAACCGAACCTGCTGTGGTTTCATGTCAGAGGATTTGAGGTTGGTGGCCGTTTTTCAGTGCCTTTGCACCAAATAGCTTTTCTAATATCTTACCATCGCTTGTTCCGCCCTTGGCATTACCAAAGATGTCAGGTTTGTGTTTAATGTGCAGCTTAAACACGTTCTACTGAAATATTCATGGTGTCATTGTTTTAATGATCAATCATCTGGAAGTTGTGTGAGTGCAGATTCTGAGTAGTTTATCTTCAACACACATGATGTAATGGAAATAACAAACATGTAAGCTGGTGACATCTGTGTTGGAGCAGGGGAACAACTAAAACACGCTAGATATCAGACTTCAGTCCCCATCACTAGCCTTCAGATTTCTACTTTTTATGATCCAAAACATCTTTTTTCAAGGTTGTCTTAATCCCCAAGGGGGCAATTGAATTGCCATGGACAGTAAAAGCCATTCGCTGGACTCTGCTATAAGCCACAGCCGCGATAGAAGTGTCAAATATACGATCATACAAAATGCTGGTTGTAAAAACGCACTGCAGCAGGAACAAGGGTTCCTAAAACGTTCAGTGGAACAACGGGGCATTAACATTCGCCCACTAAAAGGGCTCCTGAGACCCTTAAAGACCTGACGAAGGGGTGACCCTCCAGAGACATAACTATCGTAAGTTTACTCTCCATCCTTTGTCGATGATCAAATGAGTTCAAGCTTTGCCCAACCACTGAGCCGGATTTCTTGATCATTTTGTTGACCCTGTTTTGGTCCTCAGCAGTGAGGCTCCTGCCCCAACAACACAGCATAAAACAACACACTGGACATAATCCCCTGATAACACATTCAAGAGCCTCCTACTTATATCAAAGGATCTTAGCTTCCTAAGAAAAAACAGTCTGGACTGGGTCTTAACAGCATCGCTGGTCCTTTTCCAGTTTAACTTATTGTTGAGGTACCCCAAGATATTTATGTCTCCACAGTTTCAACAGGTTGGCCTTTGATGACCACTGGAGAGAATGTTTGTTTTTTCTTTCTAAAATCAATAACCAGCTCTTGTGTTTTGCAGAAAGTTTACATCACACCATCTAACAAAGGAGTTAACTTCCTCCCTATAAGCCAGGTCATCACCCCGGGAGATCGGGCCCAGTAGGGCAGTGTCATCGGAGAGCTTCTGTGACAAGATGGTAAACTGTGCCTATAGTCTGCTGTATACAGTGTAAATAAAGATAAAACTGTCCCCGGTGGTGCACTGACCCCCAACCCTCACAAACTGGGGCCTGTTCAAGAAATAGTCTAAAATCCAATAATTTATTTCCTAAAATATGGGGCTGACTGGTATTAAAAGCACTAGAAAAATGAAACATAAGTCACACTAAACTGCTGGCTTTCGAAGGTGTTAATAAATAATGTCCAGCAGATACAGAAGGGCATCAGCCACACTCACACCCTTCCTATATGCAAACTGAAGGGGATCTGGGAAGGAAACAACCTGTTCTCTTAGGCATTTAAGGACGACTCAAAACATTTCATTAAGTGTGATGTCAACGCAATAGGCCTAGACTGGACAGCTGACACCTGTTTCCTTAGGGATCGGCACAAGACGAGAAGTTTTCCACATTACAGGTATTTTAGCAGCAGACAAGGACCGCATGAAAATGGTGAAGGACCGCTGCAAGCTGCTCTGCACAAACTAAGTCAGATTTGTCAGACTTATTTACTTTTATTACCAAAAACAGAAGTAAAACAATAATTAGCATGCATGAAACAAATACAGCTTGTACAAACGTGTCTTTGGTTTAGAGTTGAGCAGCTGAAACACACCGTAATATGAAGTTATCGTCTCTCAGCAGATGACAGATGAGCTAAAACAGCCCCCCCCCCCCCCCTCCCCAAAATTAGCAGTTAGTTCTTCTGTCCAGGTAGAACTTTGAGTACGACACTACGCTAACATGGATGAGGAGTAAAAATAACTAATTCTGATTGAGTCAAGCTAGCAGCTGCCGAGCAGACCCCCTCTAACCGAACACCCTGACTGGATGATTTTAACATCATACGGGTGAAACGTCATTAAGGTGACAAGTTCTCACTATTAACTGCAGTAAAGATACATTTTCAGCTCATGCAATAATATCGTTAAATACGTGAAGGAAGAGGCTGAAGCTCAGACTTGTGCTTCAGTTTTGATGTCCTCCAAAGGGAAAACGGAGATCTCCCGGAAAAGCTCTTCCTCCTTTAGCATGCTCTGAAACATAATCAGGCTAGCGTCACCTCATCCTCTCAGACCACATCAGACTAGAGCAGGTTCACTTCTCACCGTCAGGTTGTTGATCCCCTCAGAAAACGCTCCGATCTGTCTGACCGCTCCTTCCGAGTCCTCCATCTGCAACGTCAGTTCAAACTCATGACTGTAACAGGTAAGGTGGTCGTCATGGAGATAAAAACATTTACCTGCTCCAGCGGGTCCAGATTATCCTCGTAGATCCCAACGTTCCTGTGGAAGCTGCTGTTCTTTGGCATTTCTATGTTCAAAGGACAAACGTAGTCCTCACAATCATCGCGTCTCCTCCTCAACGAGCCAAAACCACCAAACGATGAACGTCTGGGCTGCGACGCAAAAACCCACAAGGCTGAAACTTCTCAGAGCAACAATAAAACATCGTCAGAAGTTAGACAGACACGCTAATGAGCTTGTTCCGGACTCCTTCAAAGAGCAGCGAGCCTCGTTCACAATTACAAAACCAAAGCTCAACTTGTTGCCATAGTGACCGGATGATGGAGAAGTGCAGAGCAGACACCGACCTTGACTCTGGCGGTGGCTGTGAGGACGGAGTAGTCCGGGTTCTCCAGACCTTCCTGCTTTTGCCGCTGCGCCTCAGAACCCACCAGCAGGTGGAAGTGTGTAGCCAGGTGGCGTCTGAGCAGGGTTTTACTGGGAGGGATGTTGAGCAGCAGGGCGAGAGCTTCCACGTTAAAACGAGGCTCCAACACCTTCATAGAGCACAACCGTGGTCAGGTCTGAGAAGTGCACGTGATCTGCTCTAATTAACGCACAAGGAGCCGCTTCCTCACCATCAGCCCGCCGTGAACGCCACTTCCTCTTAGGTTAGGAGCGTATTCAGCCAGATCAACGGAGCGCAGCCACTCCATCACTCTGTGGTTGGTCCACTGGGAGATCTCAGCTGGAGTCAGGTTGTTCTGCTCAACCACAGCAGTTCGAGTCAAGAACTCAGGTTTTCTAATGAAAGCTGAAGCGTGCGGTCAGGGGTGTGATACCTCATCAGATGGCCGTCGCCTCACACAGTTGGGTTCAAATGAGTTTAAGCGCAGGACCTGAATGGCTCTTTTGATGCTCAGGTGATGAAGGACACTCCCAACCTTCAGAGACAGCAGGTCTTCCTAGAGAACAGATCAAACAGCAGCGTTAACGAGTCCTGGTCACCCGTGGGGGGATTTATTTCAACCTCGTTAAGAGTTTGGACACTAAATGTCTGATCTTTAGGCTTTAAGAGATGCCCCATCTGCTCACCACAGTCATGTAGTGCAGCATGCGTCCGTCCACTCGAGCTTCGTCAAAGTTACTTTTATACTGCGGGAGACCGATGTCGTCCAGCCACCCTGGTGCAAAACGGCAACAGTCAGAGGTGTGCAAACACAAGAGTCGGCTCTGAGACTGGTCACTCACTGGTCACCCAGTTATGGTCCAGTTTGCCCTGAAGGTCGTCGTCCTCGGTCCCGAGAGCCTGGAGGGCGAGCTGCAGCTTCTTCCTGTGGAGAGGCTGCTTCATGCCCAACTCCTGGAGACACAAACACGACTGTCCTCAGAGGAGCGTTGCAGCAATCCCAAACATCTGGTCCGGTGTTTAACTGTAGAAGTCCTCGGATTCTAATTTCAATGACGTAAACCAGATTAACTCGTTAGATCTGATCACAGCAGAGTTCATCCCACCTTCTCCAGGTCGTGTTGTGACGCCTGCAGCAGCGTTTGTCCTGATTTGATCCAGTTCTGACCCGGAGCTGCGTACACACCCAGGCCCTGCTCATGGAGCCAGGTGGAAACCTCGTCTTTATCCCACCGGGCGAAAGGAACGTCCACGGCCCTGGACGCGGGACAGGGACTGTTCTTACCTCACGGCAAAACAAAAACGCTACCCGAGTTTACACCGATGACTCGTTTAAAAATGACGCAAATGTTATAAACCCGAGTTGGATGTCATTTAAAACACCTACTTGTGTTTAGAGTCACTCGACCAGCCGAGTCGCGGGCCAGCGGTGGCTCGGACTCCGCCCCTTCTAAACGCCGTGTCGGAGTCGTCCAGGTTGAAGGAGGTGGAGTGACTCCTCTTCAGCCTGAAGGAGCACCGCAATATTAAAAACCAACAAACAACCTCGTGATGACTCACGGACGGCAGACCGCAGCGTCACCTGCCGAAAAACTTCATCAACCCTTTCGGCTTCTTCTTGGCCTCTGGGGATGATGCAGGAAGAGCCGCATCACGGGATTTCTTTGAGGGAACGCCAGCCAGATCTAGGTGTTCTGTACCTTTTTGTTCCATCTCAGCTGTAAGCATTAACACGTGAATCACCCACAGCAGACGTTCTGCCAAAACTAATGGGTCATCTTCTAAATAAAAGACAAGAACATTGTATACTGTGATTGCAACAGGAGCGTGTTTAGCTGGACTCACCAAGGTTCGGGGAGCTGGACGCCTGCTTGCCTCCACGCAGCTTCAAGAAGCCGCGGCCAAAAGAAGAGCGAGCCTTCTTGGTACCAAAACCCCCATCGCTCGTGTTTCCTTTGGCGGGAGAAGAGGAGCCAACCCTGGCTTTGGTTCTAGTCTGCAAGAAATAAACCAAACGAGTCAGGAAACACTCAAATTCAAAAGATAGACAAAGTAGCAGCATTTAACCACTAGGTGTCAGAGCAGGACTGGATTAGATCAGCTTCATGGGGGGGGGGGGGGGGGGGGGGGGGGGGGGAAGCTGCTAAAGGGCTTCACCAAGAGTGGTAAAAATCTATTGAATTTGTTTATTTATGGGTCATAATGTGTTTTCTGTACCAACAGACTGGTCTTACCAGGTTTGTGCTGCTGGTTGCAGCTGAGCTGTTAGGTGGTGACTGATCCAAGGAGCTGAAACAACAAAATGATAACTAAACAACCACTTTGTCTCTGATTTAATCAGAACTGATGACAGAGCCACCTCTGTACCTAAAGGTCACAATATTCACAGTAATGGTGTTGAAACTGTAAGATGTGAGATTATTCATAAACTAGATGCTCTGACTCACTGGGGATGGAGAAGACAGAGCGCGCGCGCACACACACACACACACACACACACACACACACACACACACACACACACACACACACACACACACACACACACACACACACACACACACACACACACACACACACACACAAGTGTTTCTATGGCTGCATTGTGATTTCTTAGTTAATATATTAAAATATATACTTTAATTATCTATAATTCATTCAATAGGTGAACTAGTAGTAGCACTTTCCATGTCAAAGAAAGTCAAATGTTCTGATGGCGTCGAAGCTTCTGGATCAGCTCAGTCTGTGTTTACAGCAACCTGCCTCAGATGTGTAAGAAAAAGTTCATTTTGGAGCTTTCCCAAAGGACTGAAGCGCCGAACACAGCTGTAAAACCTGCTCTTAGTGCTAGTACACAACTGATGAGCTGCACTTCTGTAACACTGATTAATGTTCATGTTGAGACTTAAAACAGGAACAATGGCTCTTTACTGATAACCCACGATGGTGCTTTTCTTTACCTCTGGGCTGCCTGGAGCTGCCGTTCTGTGTCCAGTTCCCTCATTTCGGAGAGCACAGCTATACATGGAGTAGACTAAAGAACAGAGAAACAACATGAAGCTTCCGGGTCCTCCTCCCAACAGCAGAGCATTTACTCAGCCTGACGCATAAAACCAAAAACAAGCTCTGAGGGTTTGTGAGTCTGGGGTTCGTCCTGTGTCAGCTGTTTGGACAAAGGTTGTGTTTACCTCACTGGAGCTCCTTCCTGCCTCCACCTCTATGGACGTAGAAACCGAGGGATCGTCCAGGATATCGGCATAGTCGTCTTCTTTTAGCTTCTCTGAGAGACCACAGATCACACAGTCACCACTAAGATGCGATACCAAAAGTTATTTTAGTGAAACGTTACTTAAATATTTATTTTAACTGGCCGATCTTGGGAAAGCAGCCAGAAACTGTTTTACTGGCTACATCATGGTGGATAAATGCGAACGTCGTGAGTCATTTAAACCCAGAATAATCCTCTCACCTCTGACCAACTCCTGCACTCTCCTGCACTTTGTGAGCGACTCCTCCAGCTCTTTAATCCGTCGCTCCTGCAGATACACACACAAGTCGTGATACGTTCAGCGGGTCGGCGCAGCTGCTGACACGCTGGTCTGTACCTTCTCATCGTTCTCTGACGTCAGTACCTCCAACACACTCTTCATCTGCACCACTTCAGTGTCTGAAAATGGGGAAAAGATGCTTTATACTGGTGGAGCTTCAACTGTAAACAGCCCAGAAGGAACTCAACAGAAATAATGAAGCCGACTGGGAGCTGGTCAGCTGCTGCAGAAAGCTGCGGCCATCAAAAAGACTCTGGGATTGTCTGTGTTTCACAAAGTGCCATGCACAATTAAATACTTGCAAACCACTTGGTAATTAAATGAGGATGTCATGAGCTCTTAATTACGGGGGGGGGGTTCGGTCTGCTGGTGTCATGTGACGGCGCCACAAACCTCATCTCAGCTGGGCATCGACCTCCTTCTGCTGAGAAGTTTTTAAAACTCAGACATTTATTTACTCGGTCATGTTTTCCTCCGCTCTGCAGCGAGTGAATCGGAACACGCGAATGAAGGACATTCCTCCGGCAGCGGGTCAGATTGGGACTAAAGCACAACAGAAACCTGCGGCTGGTTTATTTTGTCTCAGAAACGTGATTGTGAGAAAATAATTCGTGCAGGAATCCAGGGTGATGTTGGAAGGTAAAATGTCTTCGTCTAATCCTCGTAAACCCATGAAAATGAACCCGCAGGAAGCTCTCAGACTAGATAAGAGACAGCCCCCACCTCTCTCCTCCCCCCCACATTGGTCATGGAGCTCCACCATCAGCTTGCACTCATCCTTCAGCCTGCTCAGCTCCTCCTCTCGCTCCTCCAGCTGCCTCTGCAGAATCTGCAGCTCCTCCTGTAAAACATTAACGATCCAAAATGAACACGAAAACCAAAAGGCTCAGGTTAACATCAGAGACCTTCAGAACCAGAAAAGTTTCCTCGCTTCAAGCCACTAAATCTCCAGATGGAGATTTTCAGGTGTTAAATGGTAAACGGCCTGTTTTTGTATGGCACCTTCTTAGGGTTCTACAACCCCCCAATCACGTGGATTGGCCAGAAATCTTCTACAACATTATAATGAGTGCTACAAATTACATAATCTGGGAATAAAGGAAATGTAACCTAATCTAAAATGGTCTGATCGGTCTGTTTTGATCTATTTTGAAAACTCCGATCAAAACCGATAGGGGCGCCATCGGCCGATTGGGATCAAATGCCGATCCATCGGTGCATCCCTACCAAGCACAGGCGCCACTGGTCCTTCTGACCACCACCAGCAGGCAAGGTGGGTTAAGTGTCTCGCCCAAGAACACACCAGCAGCATTTTCTGGTCGAAGCCGGGATCGAACCTGCAACCTTGCGACTACTGGACAACCCGCTCAACCTACTGCTGTCCAATAAAACCGCCTCTCCTCATCTTGTTTGTGTCCTATCTGTACCCTTCACCAACAACAACAAAAACATGGCTCCTGCTGAGTTAGTCGCAGCTTAAGGATGATGATGCTGCATTAAACAGTTGTCTCACTCTCCCTGTTGTAGATGTTGTTTGTGTTTAGTCTCCTGTTAGTAAAAATCGGTTTTAATCGGTCACGCTGAGTTTTTCATTCAGGCTGAACATGAAAATAGACAAAACTCCGAGGCCAGATGTCCAAATATCAGGAAATAAGACTCCAAAACCTGCTTTTTACTGCCACTCTGCTGTTTGTGCTGATCCAAGCACTTCTGGGCTTTTTTTGCCCCGAGTACGGCCTTCAAGGCATTCATTCCTACCAGAGACAACTGCAAATGTATTGAACTAACGAGTGAACCACACCTTTAACATTTTACTTTCCGTAACATAGAATGTGCTACTACTAGTTCATCTGTGGAATTAATTAAAGATTCGCTCAAATAAAGACAATAAACTTTGTTAGGAAATTGAATGTGTACTATGAAATGTAGGCAGCCATAGAAACATGACTTGGTACAAAGGTGTGCGTGCATGTGCTGAATCTCCAGTGAGTGGCAGCAGGTGGCTGCTCATACTACAACCTTTAACTTAATGAGGTTTAAGGCTTAATGAGCTGAACTCAGCTGGGATGTTTACTTTGTGAAGTTTATAGAAATAAACTGAAATCAATTCATGACCACAGACATGAACGAACCTTCGCTACACAAAATCTCTGTTAACACATTTAAGTTTAGATTTAACACCGTGTTAGCTGAGCGTTACAACTAGGGATGCACCGATACCGATACTGGTATCAGTATCGATACCAGTATCGGTATCGGTGAAAGTTAACCAATACCAGGAACTGATACGAATGCAGTTGCTTGAAAATGGCTTCACTGTAACTTGTCGTTTCTGTTCACTTAATATTTTAGTTTTGTGATGATTTCCATTCATACATTTTACTTTTTATCTACCTCACAGTCTCTTCCTGTTGAAAGCAGAGAAGAAAATAAAATCTGTATTCTAAATCATTGCATTTTTTTGTGTGGTAGAAGTATCGGTATTGGTAATCGGTATCGGCGAGTACTCAGATCCAAGTATCGGTTTGGAAAAAAGTGGTATCATTGCATCCCTAGTTACAACATGGATTTTATGATTTACTATTTAAAAATGTTTTTTGTTTGCATTGACTTTATTTACGATACAATCCTACAAACATAGAAGAACTGAAGAACAAACACTCCAGTTCCACATCTAATTGTTTATAATGTTGGATATTTATCCGTACAACATCAATATCCTCTGTGTAAAATCTGTGGTGCTTAGAGAAATAATCATAAACTAAGTAGAAATGGATTTGCTCATCTGACAAGTCTTTTTATCGACTAAACAAATATCAAGAGTAACATTTAAAACATGTCACTCGCTCCGTCTGTGTTTTTATGTCATCTAATTCTGTTGTCAGTTCTAACAAGTGGCGTGTGCTAAAATATCGATGATAATCAATCAGAATGTGGGAAGCCGCAGACATTTTCACAAGCTGATTACAAAGAATCAATGAACAAAACATTAAGCTCTAATAAGGGAGTGAGCAGATGAGTTCAACCCAGAAAACGACTGAAGCACCTAAATAATCAAACACAGCCATCACACAACTCAAACCAAAGGTGAGTTATTTCACACTCGTGACACAAACCCACTTACAGGAAGTGTGGTGAAAGTCAGGGAAGCAGTGAAGAAGAAGCAGCTCAAACCTTCACCTCATCTCCAGTCGAGCGTTCCAAGATCCACTTTGGACGCTTGGACAGGTGAAAACGTTGCAGGAAGACATTTATTTTTTATCACAGAAAAGACAGAAAAGTCGTCACAGAGGAAAGAAAAAGCAGCGATGATGAGACAAGAAAAGGGTTCAAAAGGTAATGGTGACATGAGTGTAACACACACTCACTTTAGTGACTTTGAGTTTCTTCTCACACAGAAGTCTTTCATTCTCGATGTCGGTCATCCTGAACCGCAGGTCTGTCACTTCCTGATACAAACCCTGAGGATGGCAGAAAAACAACATTTAACTCGGAGACAAAGGCCCAAAAACATGCATCATGTTAAGCTAACGCTGCGATGTAATTAAATCCACGTGGGTCATGCAGCACAGAGATATTAAAGTTAAGGAAAACATGTCTGCAGTCTCAGCATTCACCCATATCAGCAGGTGAGGAAACATCCATGGGAGCTTCTGAGGCATCGTGTGTACACTTTAAAAATGCATCGACGTTCCTCACCAGTTACCATACCAGTTCATTTCTAAAGCACGTGTAAAATACAGCATGGGAGCTGCCCGAAGTGCTGCACAGGCAGGATAAAATAAAACCAAAAACGACAAGGATAAAAAATACTGAATAGTAATAACAAATAAAAACAACTAAACGAGTCACTGTCTAAGAGTCAAGTCGTAAAAGTGGGCCTTTAAACGAGATTTAAAAACCGCCTAAGAGGAGGAAGCCCGGCAAACTGTAATGGGAAGTGCGTTCCACAGCTTGGGGGCAGCACAGAAATGCTTGTTCGCCCCTAAATTTATAGCAAATCTGGGGAGTGCAGAGCAGCAGGAGATCAGCCGACCTCAACGTGTACATAGGCACATAAGTGGTGAGCAGGTCAACAGATAAGGAGGAGCCAGGTCATGAGGTGCTTTAAAAACAAAAGTCAATAACTTCAACTGGACAGGGAAGGTGACCGGGAGCCAATGGAGACGTGTCAGGACCGGAGTGATATGGCAGCAGCGTTCAGGGCACCAGGGCCTGAAATTCACTTCTAAAAATAGAGGGGAATTCCCCCCTCACATATGTCTGTACAGGGGGAATTTATATATGGGAGGGGGCACTTAACTCCTGTGCCACCGTCGCTATTGTCATGCCATTTCATGCCAATTGTAAAGCACACTGAATTGCCCGTGTTTGAAATGTGCTTTATAAATAAAGCTGCCTTGCCTTTTTTTTAACCTGATTTACCTGCTTTAAAATGTTCAAACAGAAAACCAAGATGTCATTGATGAATCTGGAAACATAGTCCACGCTTTTCTAAACAAATCTGAGTTCTTCATGTGTTTCTTTATTCCTGATTTAACGCCTTAATGGACAGGAAAAGATAAATGTCCGTACACTCCGCTAATGGTCTGAGTCTGGAAACTCCAGAGTAACGAGTATAGAGAATATAGCCTTCACTGTGGTGTGTGTGTGTGTGTGTGTGTGTGTGTGTGTGTGTGTGTGTGTGTGTGTGTGTGTGTGTGTGTTGGGAACTCTGTCAGGAAACAGCTGCTGGAACAAAAAGGGGGATTTAGGCCTCTTGCACAACCCTTAAAGAAGGTCCCCTGGCACCACGTGAGAGCTCCAGCCGACTGAGACGGACCTCTGTGGGTCTAAAAACAATGACTGAACGGCTGCCAGGAGAACTGAACTATCTGCTCCATTTACCAGCCTCCAGCAGAGTTCAAGTCCAGGACGGGGGTGGGGGGTCCTACCTCGTTGCCCCTGTGATTGTGCTCCAGAGCAGTAAGCTTCAGCTTCAGGCTGGACACCTCGGTCATCAGCTCCAGCTTCTGGGTCTCCAGAGCGGTCCGGTTTAACAGCTCCTAACAACAAGTGGTGACCATTGTGATGAGCAGAGTTTTTATAAACGGGTCAGAGAATTCCAGCCACCTCCGGGTCCTCGGGTCACCTGCTGCAGCAGCTCCTCGGCAGCATTCAGCTTCTCCCGATGATGCTCCAGACTTTTATCTAAATCACGAATCTTCTCACCTTGCACCTCCACCTGGTCCGTTAGCACGCTCACCTGCACAACAGCAGTGCGACATTCAGGAGCAGGTTATAAAAGAGTCATTTCACATTATAGAGTAAATGTTCTTATGAACTTTAACATGAACCTCTAAAAAGATCAACATGTCAAACCGTGTCTCATCATTAGGACCATGCTAGGATATCGAAAGTTCACCACTCATTTTTAACTTTAAACAAAACGAGGCGTTTTGGACGGAGGCGGTTTCTGGTCGTAATCCTCCTGACTTGGTTTCCAGCGTCTTCCTCTAGAGAAGACTTTAAATTAGGGCTGCACAATATATTGCAAATATATCATTATCGCGATATCAGCATGCGCAACATGCTTATCGCAAAGAACAGATAAACATCGCAATGAATGGTCAGCTCAAATGTTTGCAACACATAATGCATTCAGTACATCAAACGAAAGCATGATGCTTTTTAACTAATCAAACAGAGCTCTTCACCCATTTGGCCAATTGGGTGGGTTCTCATAGGTTAGATGCCCGCCCCCGACACAAATTTGATGGTTAGCAAACACCTGAGTTAGCTTTGTTCTGCTCTTTTTGCTGATTCTGCTTTTCCCGGGATCCACCGATTGCCTTTTCTTTTCCCCTTTCCTCACATCTTTTGCTTTTCTCATTTTTATGATTTTTTGGTCATTTTTTTATTTCTTGGTTTTTGATTATTTTTGTTCCCGAGTTAAGTTTTATTTATTTTATTTATTATTCTATTATACGTCATCACAATATTAATCACTGTTATCGCATATCGCAGGTTTTTCTAATATCGTGCAGCCCTACTTTAAGTGTTACTGTAGAAGTTACTGTTCAGTCAGATTTTATTTATAAAGCGCTTTTCAAGCAAAGTGTGACTCAAAGTGCTTTACAGAATTAAAATGACCCCAAATTCCCATAACAGTTTATTAACAGACGCGCATGCGCGTGCACGCACACGCCAGTAAAAATTTATATCTGACTGAGTCCAGATGAGCCAAGTAAAGTAAGGCAAGGAAACGCCATCAGAGGAGCCGTCTGCCCCGGCAGCATCAGGTCTTCCACACCAAGTCAGGGCGCTCAGAGGAGGAGGAGCATAGACCCCCACCTCCATTAAACACTACCTCTAGAGCGCCCAGGAAGCTACAGTCGACCACCGCCCCCGGGGTAGAGGGCCCCTACAGAGAAAATACTGGATTAAAATGAGTAAAAATATGAAAATAAAAGCTAATATAAATGACAAAAGTAAGAAAATAAGTAATAAAATCATATGGACAGTAAAATAATAATATTATTAAATAATGAAATAATGCTAAAATATAGTCATATAAAACATGCAAAGCCAGTAATAAAATATAATCATGTAAACCAGAAATAAAACTATAGTAAATAATTAGATAAGAGCTAACCTAAACAGGTGGGTCTTGAGCCTGGACTGTTCAACCTTGAAGACGACATTAAAAAGCTTCCAGTGACTTTCTGAGTCCAGGAATCAAATGATGCGATATCCTGATATAACTCACCAACATGAGTCTTAAACTCCAGGATGAAAACTAATAATTTGTTCATTTCAACCAGAAAATTGAATAAATATGCGTCTTGTCAGAGTGAACCACAACTGTTTAATACAATCACACTTCATTTCACAGCCAACAACAATTGTTGAGTTTTTCTCACAAACCTGAAGAATGAGACACTCTTTGTCACTCTCCAGTCGGGAGAGACGCTCTTGGTAAACCGCCTCTGAGCCGTGGACGTTCGTCTGGGAGAGAAACCATACCCGATTATTTACGTCAGAATAAGAAGCTGCTGTGACAAGAAAAAGGAGGCTTTCAGCTGTCATTTCTGCTTTTTACATAATGGCTCATGAATAAACTAAGAACAGGATCATTTTGTAATTCTGCTGCTTTGCTTCACCACAATAGCTCTGAAATGAAGCAATCAAGGAGCCAAGTGTCCAAGTTATGAATATTCTAAACATTCTGGAGTTTTTCTCATGACTGGATTCGCTGCTTTTCGTTTGGTCTTCAAGTAAAAATCAAGTTAAGGTCAGGGTAACTGACCTGAACAACGTTTTCTACTTCTGTGCATAAGAGGAGGATGTAAGACTCCGCTTTTAAGTTTCTGACTGACTCAAAGTAAAAGACATCCTATCAATGACATCTTTGAATCACCTTCAACTGAAGCTGATGATTAGTGTGAGAATGACATCATGACCTAAAAACGTACCGCGCTGCGGTCCAGATTCATCACACTGACTAACCTCTGTAAGGCACACAAGAGTGAGCTGGGTTTTAAAGCAGTCGTCTCTCAGAAATCACATTTAAAGAGACGAAGAAAAGCATCTGAATGAGTTTAAAAGGGTGGAAAACCTCAGCGGCAGGGCTCCTACAGAAACACCATCTTTCATCAGGCACATTGTGACTTCTACAGGACTTCTGTTGTGTGTAAGAATTTAATTTACATCTATTTAATGAACCATAAGACATGAGATTCCATAGTAAATATGAAATCTTATGGATCTTTGGGTACTTTTAACCAGAAGATTGGAACTTTTTATTGCAGGGATTATGTAACAACTTCATATTAACTCAGAGACAAAAGAAAGAGAGTCAAGTTTTAAAAGTTTAAAGATTTATTACTAAACCAATTAAAACTAGATTAACTTTAAACACTAAGTGTATGGTGTTACTAAGGTGAAGTGAGACGGAGAATGGTGTAATGTGAAATGTTGTTCAGAACCAGCAAATCCGGAGAAACGATTAGTTCTGGTGGGAATGAAGGTGATGTCTTCGCGCTAAGCTTTGATTTGGAGATTCATAACACACATTGAGACGCCATTCTGTCGGTCTACGTATCCTTGGCGGAAGTCCCCGTCTAGATCAGGAGGTGTAGAGGTCCAGCTTGGACCTTTCTGGAGCCGAAGCCTGTAGAACAGCCGCGGCTGCCGACCAGTCCAGTCTTGAGATACTTCCGGGTCACGACAGTTTATTGGCATCTAGCAAGACCCAAAACGGGGTCGTGATGGTTCAGCTTTTATTCTGAAAGGAACCGTTGCAGCAGTTGGAACAGCAACAGATTTTATCCAGCTCGTCGTTGGTTCTTTTGTTGAAGAGGAAAGTTACGGATTGGCCACTCCATCAACTTCTCTAGAAAGCTTTGACGGTACGGCTCCCATCTACCTGAATCCTCTTGCAAAGGCTTACGTCTCGGCCCGGCCGCTCCAGTCATCACAGGATCATCGGCTAGCAGTGCCTACACCACGCTCAGGACAATCCAGACTCTTCTCATGCATCGTTCCACACATGTGGAATGACCTACCAAGCACTACCAGAACAGGGGCTTCCTTTTCAATTTTCAAGAAACTCCTGAAGACCCTGCTCTTCAGAGAGCATCTTCTTAACTAGCACCTTCCCTGCACCCATCCCCCCTCTCTACTGTCCACTCCTTGTTCCCTCCTCTCCATGACTGATGTCAATGTTGTTGTTGTTATTGTTGTTGTTAGCCTCAAGGGCAAAATGCCGATTATCACTTGTAAGTCGCTTTGGACAAAAGCGTCTGCTAAATACATAAACATAAACATAAAGATGACGTGGGCATAGTTTTATAATTCGGATGTTTTGATTTACGGTCGAATGAAAAGATGACAGATTTACCAAGCACCACCAAAACCACGCCTCCGTCAGATCTGGAAGATTCTGATTGGATCAGTAAAAGCAATGTGTGATGTGGCTTAACCTTTCGTGTAATCAGTCTCTAGTTGGAAACATTTAAAGTTATATTACTTATTATATTCTGTAGGATTATAATATCAAGTAATTAATATTTTTATTTCACAAATTGGTTCACATTTTATTATTGACCAACACTTTGTTTGATTAGCTTATTAAAAATAGAGTTCTTTGATTTATTAAAAAGAAAGAGTCCTTTGTCTTCATTCTCCTCTTGGGCTGGAAAGGAAAACAATTTAGAAGCAGATGCATGAGAACTTGAACAATATCTCATGCAGATTAGTTCTTGCTGAGGAGAGGGGGGGAAATGACTTTTAGGTGGAAAACAGTCATTTCATTCCATTACATGTGTAATGTCTGAAGTTTGTGTGCATATCTGTCTGAGGTGTTTTTTTGCATAGCAAAGTTACCCTCTCTGTGGAGGGTAACTCTGAAGTGCCTTTTTTTCTCTCCCCCTGACTCTATCCTCATATAAACCCTCTGGATCTACAACGGTAGCGCGACTTGTGTTGCGAATGACCACAGTCACCAATTCTTGTCATGTGACTGTTTTCCTCTCATCCATCAAGGACATTAGCAGTAGCTCAGGCTAGTGTTGCTCTGTGGTGAACCTTAGCGCCACCGACATTTATAACAGGAAGGCAATCCTGGTCCTCGAGTGCCGCTATCCAGTATGGTTTAGTTGTTTCCCTGAATCAACACTAGGGTTGTCACGGTGTGAAAATTTAACCTCACGGTTATTGTGACCAAAATTACCACGGTTTTTGGTATTATCGCGTTTTTTTTAAACGAGTTACATTTTCACACAATTATATAAACCCTGTATGTCAGGAAATATTGTCCTCAGTTTGTGCCTGAATTTTGCCTGAAATGTGTTATTTAGTAATTATGTTGTTTATTTGTTTACATTTTTTTCCTTTAGTCTTTAAAATACTAATATTTGCCCATAACTTCTTATTTTATGTCTGTTTGATGTCATCATTTTAAAAATATTAGATCAGATGATACTCAGTACTCAGATACTTTTTTACCCTTACTTGAGTAATATCTCTTTATCAGGAAAATATTGTCCTCGGTTTGTGTCCTTCCAGTGAGCTTTGCAGATGTGGGAAAATGTCATCAGGCAGTAATCATTGTTAAATTCATAATTATTCTCGGAGAGAGACCAACTCTAATCTGCCCCTGGGAGCCCCGTAATGCATAGCGTCATTTCAACATGGCGGTGTCCGCGTCGCAACACGGTTTATATGCAGGTAGCGGCACTGCGGCTGCTTTATGTAGCGACTCGTTGCATTCTCCCTCAACCCAAATCCTCGGATCACGCATTTTAGCTAAAACGCTAACGTTAGCTTGCCTTGCGTTGACTGTAGAGTTGTGGGTGATGGTCACGCAGATGTGCATGAGATTTTAAGCGTTGCTGCCTTTCACAGACACTTTTTCTGGACGCGCAGCAAACAGGATAGCCGTCTTCTATCAGCTGTCCCTCTGCATTCTTCAAATATCCAAAAGATGCCCGTACTTCCCACTTTGTCTTCTTTGAGGGATAATAAATGTCCTCCTGAGTGCTGCCGTCTCCTCCTTTGGCCATTATTTCAGCTTTAGCTTCAAGAAAGTTTTGGTTGTAAACAACAAAGTGCGCATGTGCCGCCGGCAACTTCAGCCGATGATACGGTGGCTGGTAAGGGTCACCGCGCCTACACCACAGCCACGGTAATCCACCGAGATAATATAGTTTTTAAAAACAAGACGGTTATTATTATTGTCAACTTTTTTACCGGTGTTTACCGCTACACCGGTTACCGTGACAACCCTGATCAACACACCTGATTCAATGGTTGAATCACCTGTTCATCAAGTTTACAACAGCAGTCAAGGACCAGGATTGACTACTTCCTGATGCTGAAGTGGGCTGGGACATGCAAATGTACGGTGGTCTGAGTGGGGTACCGATCAAACGACTGCCTATATTCAACAACAAGGTAAATGGAATTCTAGAACCCATTTAAAATCAAACATCCAGAATTACACAAACAATCACGCTCAAAAACCTTTAGAAAAGCCCAAAAGTGACACAATATAATACATAAATAAAACAGACATGTTTTAGGTGCATCATTAATTAATTCAAATCTCAAATGAATGTTAAATCCATTATGTTGCCTTAATTTTGTCCTGCGAAAAAGAGCAGATGTTTTTTTTTTCCTACCGTTCGCCCGTGCAGCCACTCCGCCAGTCCCTCTGCAGTGGAATCAGGGATCTGACAGCGCAGGTTGTCCCTCTCCTCATTGTCCATCAGCTCCAGCGCCGCTCGCAAGTCCTCCAGGAGGTGCAGAACCCGAAAGCCACCGAGAACAGGCGACGTGGGCGACTGGCAGTCAAACAGCCCATTAGAGTAGTCAATGGCCTTGGAGCCTTAGGGAGGAACAGAGAAGAGTAAAGAGACATTACAGTAAAATATACAAGTAGCTGAACTGGTGTGAAACCTCAAATCAAAGTACATCTGGATGTTTTAATGTTTTGCACACACACACTGCTAACATGGGAGCTGCCTAGTGAACAGATAAAACCTTCATAATTGCACAAAGAAAGGCTATGGTGTTCTTTTGTTCCAAACCCACAGATGCAAACAGGAAATCTGCTCATGCTGCTTGAATCACGTTGCCTGAGCTACTTGTTCCCATCAGCCTTCTCCTGCATCCATCTTAAATGTCAGCTTTAATGAAGAAGCTCCACGTTACAAAGGGGACACAATAAATAAGCAAATCAAAAATCATCCAGACAACTGCGGTTCTCCACAGCAGTGAGGGAGCGGAGCTGGATGGTGGCTGTGGTTTCTGCAGAAACGGGTGGGAGTCATGTGACCACCCGCCTCACTCCTATTGGAAAGGTCAGCGCTATAATTACACACATCAGCGGAAAAGTGGGGACGCTAAAACTGAAGCCTGGTCTGCTCATCTGCTGCAGCACGATCACACGGAGCGTCGCCTCCAAAAAGAAACTTCACTCCAAACTCAAACAATCACTTGTTTCCATCGGAGCAGGAACCGTGGAAACTTTCCGTAATCTCTCATGAATCGTAGGCAGAAAGGTCCAGTAATCCAGAGGCTGGATTCTCTTTATTCAAAGAGCAGATTGGAGAAAGAGTAGCAGGAAGTCCACTTCTCAGCTTCCTCCTTAATGATTCCCAGGTGTGACCAGACCCTACAGCACTCTATGCCCACTTAAAGGAGACCTCTTTAAAGCCAGGGGGTTCAGTGTGGTCACCTGCGATGATTCCATCCATTTGCTCCAAGGCTGCTGCCAACATCTCGCTGGCGTCCGACATCATCTTCTGCTCGATAAATCTGAAAGAGGAAAAGACACAAGTCTTGAAAGGGTAAGGGAACAAGAGCAACAGATGTTTCTTGCCACACGAGCGTAGTAAGCAGCTGTAAGTGGAGATTTCTGGAGTTTAAACAAACTTCTGTGATTGTTTCAAGCTGAATTAAGAGCAAAAATAAATAAATTAGCGCCTAAAGTATCCTGTCACTAAAATAACTCCAGGACTTAAAACCTCAACAGCAGTTTTAAAAAAGACGTGTGGTGAAGCTGCTTTGTCAGCCTTTTTAATTAAAAACCTGCAAGTCCAATGACAATCCCAGTTCCTACAGAGATCCGCCCACAACATCCTGACATTATCCACAACTCACTATGCATAGTCCAAAACAGGAAAGATGAGCCCCTTCCTACAAGTGGGCAGAGTAATGAACGGCTGCAATCAGCCAACACAGGAAGCAGCAGTTTTCTCCTCACACTTCAGAAGAACTCCTGTGCCCTGATTTATCAACCGTACTTACCAGAGGTGTGGACTTGAGTCACATGACTTGGACTCAAGTCAGACTCTAGTCATTCTTTTAATGACTTCTGACTTGACTTGATACAATCTATAATGACTTACGACTTGACTCAGAATTGAACACCAATGACTTGCGATTTGAATTGACTTGCATCTGTTGACTTGATGATGACTTGATCATATTTGATATTTTAGCACAAAAGTGGCACGACAAGGACAAAAATCATAAATCATTCTTCGTTCTGGGTTTGACTTTTTGCTAAATGCAGCAGCACTTTGTTTATAATCAGTTTCAGTTGTACTTCCTGCTTGTTGGAGCAAATAAATGAAGCTTTAAGAAGCTTTTATTCTGGAATTTATTTAGGTCATTAAATTGAAGTTGGACAGATGACTTGATTATGACTAGAAAATTAAAAGTTTAGGACTTGGACTTGACTTGGACTTCCAGATCATCGACTTGGACTTGGTTGTCTTTGACATGGACTTGACTCGAGACTTGACTGGAAAGACTTGTGACTTGTAAAGCAGTGACTTGGTCACACCTCTGGTACTTACACACAGGTGTGTGTGTGTGTGTGTGTGTGTGTGTGTGTGTGTGTGTGTGTGTGTGTGTGTGTGTAGCGTAGGAACTAATTCATGCATTGTGTGGTATTCATGCGGTATACATGTGCATGAAATTTTTCTTACATAAGAAAATCTCACTTTGGCAGACAGTAGTTTATTTTATTTTTTATTTTTTTTGGACTTGGCGTGACCAAATATGGTCAATTGAAGGTGTTTCTGTATGTAAACAGAACTGACGCGAGTACCAGGGTATGCACAGGTGGGATGTGTGTGCTGGTGGTGGTCAGAGGGGCCGACAGCGCCAAATGGCAGCCTTTCCTTTGTCAGACGACCCCCCCCCAGGGTGGCTGTGGCTACATAGTAGCTTACCTTCACTGTCAGTGTGTCAATGTGAGTGAATGAGAGCGTCTGAGTGTCCTAAAAAGCGCTATATAAGTTTGATGTATTATTATTATTTACCAACAGCCGATTGCAGAGGAACGTGTGTGCGAGAGGCCACAGCATGTTTCATAAATCAGGACTTTGAACGGTCCTTGATGAATGAGGGCCCTGATTTCTAGTAATCATTTGGGTCAGTTGCTTTTTATTTCCATTATTCCATTAAGAGAGAAGAGCATTATCAAACATTCGTACGGCACAAGGTTTCATTCTTCCTCTCTAGATGACGGCTGCATCACATTAACCCTGCAGTCATGCTGCCTCAGAGACGAAAAAACGGAGTGATCTTCTGAACTTTTTACCCAGAAGCCCTCTTTTCCAGTGCCAGGCTAGGAACAGACGCTCACAGGCCAATCAGGGAATAAGAGCGCCATTCTCCCAGGGGTCTCAGGACTCCCAGCATCGGCATGCTCGGCATGTCAGGCTTTCATAACAAACACCAACAGCGTCCCCGTGACCACTCGACTCTCATCACATGTTAGACTTGTTTTCTAACCCGATCTGATGTGAAGGAGACAGTAAACAGGCCAAGAACTACTAGCTCAGAGTCTCGGCTTCAAGCATCTCATTGTAAGGAGGGAGGGGGGGGGGGGGGTTAAGGACCACAGGCTCTGCTTCATTTCCTCCCTCTCTGGGGTCACCGTGCCGCGCCCCGTGGGGTAAGCACCGAGCATTAAGAGAGTAATTAAACCAATGACCTCAATATGTGAGCCGAGGTTTGTGGTTCAAACAAGCAGGCTGAAGTGTTTTGAGTCGTTATAAAAACAGACAAGAAAGAAAAAGATCATATTCTCACAGAAGTTTGAGTATTTTTCAGAAAACATATTTATTCACAGAAACCCCAAAACAACCTGCTTTTCTATTTAAGTCTAAAGATGCACTGGAGACTGGTCCTCTCGTTTAGACCTCCGATGGCCAGGTCTTCTCGTTTAGACCTCCGATGGCCAGGTCTTCTCGTTTAGACCTCCGATGGCCAGGTCCTCTCGTTTAGACCTCCGCTGGTCAGGTCCTCTCGTTTAGACCTCCGATGGTCAGGTCCTCTCGTTTAGACCTCCGATGGTCAGGTCCTCTCGTTTAGACCTCCGATGGTCAGGTCCTCTCGTTTAGACCTCCGATGGTCAGGTCCTCTCGTTTAGACCTCCGATGGTCAGGTCCTCTCGTTTAGACCTCCGATGGTCAGGTCCTCTCGTTTAGACCTCCGATGGTCAGGTCCTCTCGTTTAGACCTCCGATGGTCAGGTCCTCTCGTTTAGACCTCCGATGGTCAGGTCCTCTCGTTTAGACCTCCGATGGCCAGGTCCTCTCGTTTAGACCTCCGATGGTCAGGTCCTCTCGTTTAGACCTCTTGAGGTTTAGGTCGGTTACCAGGATGTTTCTGATCTAAAAGCCCTCAGATGAGAGCTCACCTCAAACAAGTGTTGGTGTGGAGTAATTATGATTAATGAGGGCCTCGGTGACCCACAGCGAGAGGAGGAGGGAGTGCTACGCTCTACAAACATTCCTGAGGAGGTTAGCAGGCCTGCAAACTCCACATCAGTGCCTGGTACCACCACCACACTGACCTTTATGACCTCCTTCCTTCCTCTCTTCACTAAATCTCCCGAGAACGGGGTTTTCCTGAAAAGCTTGTGCTTTATTTAGTACGTCAGGATGGGGTCAGAAATATTCTCCGATGTCTAACAAATCAAATAAAAACAGAGACGTGATCTTGCTGACTGTTGTCTGTGTTGCCAGAGCCTAAAATAGCCATGATACTCTGTGACATAAAGCTCTTTTGTTGTTCATGGTTTGTTTTGACTCCATCGCATACAGCACGCCACGCGGCTCCAGTAAATACACCAGAAGCGTATTCATCACCGACTACAGAAACAAACTTGTTTAGACCAGACTGTCACACAGATGCTCTGAGATAAAACTCCATCAGAACAAGTTTGGACAATATCAGATTTATCAGACACTGAAACCAAGACCAAAAACCTGCTAACGCAGAATCAGGGAGTTTCAACGAGCTAAAAGACAGAAGCTCAGAGTTTTTCTGTTTTAGCAGAAAATGTGACAGAATGAAAAGTTCCAGGAGTGAAAACAGACAGCTCCTGGTCACAATCGCCACGTGAACAACAGCCTGTCAGCAAAACCTCTCAGGAGTGAACAAACATTACTATTTTCTCACAAACTGACAACTTTGACCAGCTCTGCACTAAAATGTTTATATTCAAATTAAAAAATACATGTGAACACGTTCAACTGAGTATTAGATAAGAGTCACCTTTTTTTGTACCTCCAAAATAAAAAAAAATGTTATTAAAGCAGTAAAACCATCCATTTAGAGTCCTTAGTTACTTGATTTACAGAACACGAATCAGTCTAATGAGATTTCTCTTTTGCTGAGTTGTCGGTTTAACATCAACCAGATGGACTAATGTAGGAGAAAGACTGGGATTATTAGACCAGACACACTCCTCCACCGGTGCCTCTTCCTTCAGCCTACTTCCAGCTGTGGTGCAGATGTGCATTTCAGAACCTGACTAGTAGTAGAAGATGTATTACTTGGAGTAAAAGCAGTTATAAGCAGCAGCTGGAGTTAAGATTTTGTCTCATTTATTTGGGGGCTACCAATAAGAACCATGATTTTATAAATCTGAGACAGAGACAGAGTAGTGTTAGAAGTGTTTCTAATTCTAGATTACAATACCAGACTATGGTCACCTTAGTCCTCTGCTCTTCAACACAATGGTTTTATTTCAACTACACCACAGTAGAATAGTTCAACTAATTTCTGTGCAAAAATGGTCTGATGTCCATTTTCTGTTAGAATCGGAACCGCTCTAAATAATATCAAAGATATGAGCCACTGGGCTGTCGGTCAATACAACCCTGAGGATTTACCCACCTCTGTACAACTCCTCTCTGACTGGTCATACCATTGTGCCTAAGGTGCATTCACTAAAGCCAGGCAATGACAAAACTGCGTTCTTCAATAATTTCCTAAGGTGAAAAAACATTTGGGGCTTGATGAGAATTGTTCGGGGCTAGAGATGGGAATGCCCAAGCCAGGCGACACTGCTAGATCTACATCATACAATCAATTCAATCCAAGTTTATTTATATAGCGCCAAATCACGACTAGAGTCGTCTCAAGGCACTTCACACAGTAAACATTCAAATACAAGTCAGTTCATTAAGCCAATCAGTAAAAAGTTTCCTATATAAGGAACCCAGCAAATTGCATCAAGTCACTGACTAGTGTCAGTGACTTGATGCAATCCTCACTCCACACTCTGGATAACCTAGCCTTTTAGATGGAGGCAGGGCAAGGGAGAGCCGTCTTTACCGACTGTACACTCCACCTCCCTCTACTCCCCCACTTGTCCAGATCTAGGCTAACATCAGATTTTAACCATAGGCCCTATCAAATAAAAATGTTTTAAGCCTGGTAAAAGTAGACAAGGTGTCTGCCTCACGGACTAAAGCTGGGAGCTGGTTTCACAGGAGTAGGGTTGGGCATCAT